ACATAAAAAACTGACTCAGAAACTGGAACTAAATATCGAAACTACTACTTCACACCTAAGTGCTAATTCCAGCACATGAACGATAAAAAACTTTAATGTTCTAACGTTTTCGGCCGTCTTTCAGAGGCCCTCGTTTTTTTAACATTTTTCAAAACAAAAAATGATAAAAAATTAGAACACAGCTTTGTTCGAAAATTGTTAGATAAAACTGTTTTTCTGTTCGTTGTAATATTTTCCTGACGAGGGCCTCTGAAAGACGGCCGAAAACGTTAGAACATTAAAGTTTTTTATCGTTCATGTGCTGGAATTAGCACTTAGGTGTGAAGTAGTAGTTTAGATGTAAAAATATGTCAATAACAGGATATTTCCTATAGTCATAAACACAGGAAATGTAATACTTTGGTTTTAAATTGCAATAAAATGATTAAATATATAAAACTGTTATATAAATTATATTTAAGGTAAAAATTTTATTTTTTTAATTGAAGTTATAATTTAAACACTTTTATTATCCATTCATTATAAATTCAGTTTTCTTTGTTTTTGTGCTTATGAAGTATTTTGAAAATATATCACAACTGAAATATTTTTTCCAAAAATTAAGACAGTTTTATTTGATATATTTTTATTTCACATATTTATAGTTTATATTTTATCATAATGTATCATCATCATCAGCAGCACCATTATAAGTAAAAAACTTCAAATCCACTCACAATAAATATCATTGACGATATAAATTACTAATACATGTAATATCAGTATAAATTTGTTACAAGATATTTATTGTGAATTGATTAAAAACATAAAATTTATGTTACTTTGTAATAAGAATTAGCTTTAAATATTTTTTCACAAAATGGACTTGTCCCACATTCAAAATCAATAGCTCATTTAACAGTTATAGCTACAGCTAAAAAACTACTTTCTTAAAACAATTTGTTAAAATATTTTTAAAAAATAATGAATAAAAGTAATGTTTTTACAAGGTTAATAAAAATTGGGTTTATATAGTTTACAACTGAAATTTTCTCCACTACCTAATTTACTTTTATCCATAATATAGATATATAATAATGGACAAGTTGATATTACTATATACAGCAATATCTTTGTATCTACAGTAATGGATCCACTGAAATGAGGTAAAAATATGAGTATATTGATTGGAATCTTGACCAAGAGATATTTTCTAGGGATCCATTATTGAAATCCATTCTAATGTGATCCTACTATACAGTAATGGACTTTCATTATAATGGACTAATTTCTTCAGTCTCATGGTAGTCCATTACATTGAGTTTTAACTGTATATACATACAATATATACAATATTTATAATCCAACATTACATATTTTTCAGATAATGATAATTTTTTTAAACTTTTGTCCAATTTCTGACCCACATAGCTTATTTTTTAACTTGTTTACAACAATATATAAAATTGGATATTTAATAAGTTAATTAATATTGAATATCATAGTTAAGTTTGAATATAAAATACTGAGCTAAATAACAGACAAATTCAAAACTCAATACTTTTACACATTAAAGTCAAATTATTGAATTGCCTTGACTATAAAAGTACAGGAAAAATATTCATGTGTTATGTTTTAAAACAATTAAATTTAATGTAAATGTTACTGTTATAAAAATATTTCTTTATACTTAGACATATTCATATAATATTATAAAAAACATGTGTTGTCATCAATTCTATTTAATCAAGTGTTTATACACTTACACAATTTGCATTTATATTTTGTTTACATCTTACAAAATTTAAAATATCTGATAACTGAATGAAATAACTAAATAAAATACACAGATAAAAAACAATAAATTTATTTTATAAAATAAACATTTCAAAATTTCAACCTTTGTACAGTTGAAATACACATTAATTTGACTACTTAATCACAATAATCATAATTACCATTTGATATACAAATTAAAAAATATATTTTCAGGTTTTTTGTAAATTATCAAATATATTTTAATTAATAGTTAAAACTCACTGTGTTCAGTGTTATTAATCGTTTTTTCGTTCATTCGAGTGCTTTCGACGAATGTATTATATTTTAATTTTAAATTGATCATTTTATATATTACAGATTATGTGAATATAATTTTGATATGAAATCCAATAATGTATGTTAAATCAATAAAGATGAATGAGTGTTGAATCAATAATATATCTACTGAATGCAAAGAAGGAAAAATATATTCAATATTTATTAAGTACTTGAATATGTAAGTTGAAGATGGCTACTGAAAGTGGCTGAAAATGTTTATTATAATAGGGAAAATCTGCTGGATATTATAAATTGGAATATTAGTTTTATTCCATAATATAAGAGAAATACAAATTTTCATCTATCATTTCTTTAATATTTCTAATACAGCAGAGTCCTGTACAATGCACAAATAAAGCAAGCAACACTCTCAATTTTGTTGATCAGAGGTATATGTTTTTTTTTTTTTTTTTTTTATACGCCAAGGTTTAAACTTTCATAAATTGTGTGATAATGCAGGTTTCGATAATGCAATTTCCTATAATGCGTAACAAATCCCCCGTGTTGTTTACGGGCCTCTACTGTATATTTTAAATATGCAGAAATTATTGTACACAACAGTGTTACAATAATCTGATGTAGCAGTCACATTAACAAAAATGTTAGATAATATAGAAACAGTAAGGAGTAAAGCAAATCAGATTTAATGGACATCCAGCATAAATGCAACATTCTGCAATTTATTAATAATTATTCAATTGGAAAAATCATTTTATTTCACTGTTCACTTGTAATGCTTTTTGAATCATAAGATTATACTAATAAAAAGTGATAATTAATTTAAAATATTAATAATTAATAATAATGGTATTCACTAAAACTTGTTAGGTGGGGTGAAGTTAAAAATTTTTTACTTATTTAGATTAGATTTTAATGTTAATGTAGATATATTATTTATATTATATTATTTGATTGTAATGGATACATCAGTCCAGAAGTATTTAAACAAAATTAAGTTTTTTCAATTGAAAAAAGGAGTGACAGTAGTTTATAATATACAGTATTTAATAATATGTAAATTTTTTCATATAATTGAAGAATACAAATTATTTAAATTTGATTATAAATTATATTTATAAGTATATTTTTATCAAAAATAAATTTATTGTAAAAAATGTCTTTTTAAATTAGACGTTCCCGAAACTGTACCTAAGAGGATCATTCAGCATTACATAACTTGAATTGTTTCATCTGAAATGTATTGCACATTTAACAATGAATTTTTAAATTTTTGTAAAAGAGAAATGTTATTGGAAAAATAACATGGCTCACAGTCATTTAATGTAGAGTATAAATATAAATTGCTAGCAGACAAACAAATGAAGTTACACTTCTAGTACAAGATATATTGACAAAGAATAATGCAAAAAAATTAGTATGAAAGTATATGAAACAACAAGGTGAATAGTACACTGTTGAACAAAGCAAAGTACTGAATGTTGAATAATTGAAACATTATTGCATTTGTAAAAAGTTGTATACATTTCAAAATTAAAATTGAAACTAAACAAACATTAACAATAACTGTTTTCCTTTAATTATCTGTCACTTGAAAATGTGATTGTTTTAAAACATCTATAGATAAATTTGTTTTTATTTTTTATATGTTGTATCAATGACATTTAATTAAATTTATTCTCTAATTTTTATAATATTCTATATATGATATTCAAAACCTCATTGTTTGAAATTTAGAAATATATAAAACCTGAAACAGGAAACAGAATAAATAAATTTGTATTATTTTTATTTTTTGACATAAGAAATCATTAAAATAAATATGTTTAATGTTTAGAAAATATTTATAATTTTTTTTAAATATAAGCATCATTTATTTAACTTAGAATCTGTTAATTTTGAACAAAATACTTTTGACAGTTAACATATCATATATATATATATATAAATCATATCTATTTTACATAAAACTAATATAAAAAAATAAATCTTAGTCACTGTCTACACAGAAAATCATCGATAAATGAGATAATTCATAATAAAAAAAAAATGTAAGAATATTACTTTATAGAGAAGTTAACCTAACATTTTCTATAGAGAATGACATATGTAATATTTAGTACTAGTGTTTAATGTAAAATGTGAATGGATGAAATGGAGGAAGCTGAGCTGTGTTATGTGACAGAAAGTTAACTACAGGCTGAAAGATAAATTGTACAAATCGGTTGTTAGACCTGCAATGTTATATGGAACTGAGACATGGGCAATAACAAGAGCCCAAGAAAGAAATATGGAGGTGGCAGAGATGAGAATGTTCATATGGATGTCTGGAGTATCAAGGAAGGATAAGAAACAATTTTATTAGAGATTGTTAAGTTGATCCCCTTGATCAGGAAGCTGCAAGAATGCAAGTTGAGGTGGTTTGGCCACATAGAACAAAGAAATGAAGATTATGCTAGACAGCAGGTTGGAAAACTGGCAGTAAAAGGAAAGAGGGAAAGAGAAAAGAGGAAGACCAAAGCTGCATTGGTAAGATAAGATAGAGAAAGATTTGAATCAAAGGGGACTTAAGAGAAAAGAAGCCCTTGATAGGAAGAAATATATTAGAGAAGAAAACACCGACCCCATATATAAGCATGAAAAAAAACAAAGATGAAGAAATGTTTAATATAAGAGTTAAAAAAATATTAATTGATTAAAGTAATATATTTAGATTTATACTATAAAGTTCATTCAATTAATATTGCTTAGTAATAAATGAATATTGTGGATTTTAAATAAGTATTGTTCATATTTGTATGCTGTTTTACCTTGAAAACTGTAAAAATGAAAATTCTGAAGTGAAAATTTTAAAGAAAACTTCCTTTCATGACATATTATTATTCTGTGAGCAAACTTAAGCATATAATGATAATTAAGGTAATATTTAGTAATATAAAAATGCCTTTAAAAAGGTGACTACTTACATTTTTTCTTGTAAAATCCCAAAATAGAAATAGCAGACGAATATTCCGCCAGCATAAAAGAGTAGTTTTTGAGAAGACATGTTTACAGAAGGATTTAAGTCACTGAGATCAGAAGAAGTTCTAATTATTTCGATTTTTGTTGGAATTAATCTCATGGACATTCATGACATTATGATTTTTTGGTTACTCTCTACGGGTCATCTTGAGAGAAACACATTGAACACTACGTACAAGACGTGCTTTAATCCAATTGGTCCGTTTCTACTTTTAGTTTAAACGCCTATCGTTCAATGGTTGATTAAGTCGGTATGGTGACGTAAACGGGATTTGAAATTATATATTTAGATTTTGGTCCGAATCCAAACGAATGTAGACAAGTGTCATTAATTCTTTGTCGTACGAAAATAATTATTTTAAAGGTTATTTTAATTTGTAAATTGTTTATGTATACATCCTTATTTTCTTCTGTTTAACATTTCGTTATTATTTATTTATATGGCGCTACTGATACAAGCGTCTAGAAGCTGAGCGAGCATTAGTTCTAAATTATGCCACTGCAGTAAACGGCGCCAACAGCGGGAACTCGATTTATGGTATTTTCTGGTCATGATTACGAATTATGAATGCTTTATTAGTATTATTACTATTAGTTAAAAATGAAAATACGTTAAGTTTTTAGATAGACACCTTACCTATAATTAAATTATTTTTACATTTAAAAAAAAAATGAATACGGTAATGTGTAGAACGAAATGCTCTAACTCGTAAAATTATAAGATAGAATTATAAAATAATTCTATCTTATAATCTTAAATAATAAAATAACGTAAGGATACTAAAGAGCTGATATTTTCTCACTCTGAAAAGCGTTTTTGGAAATCTTTTCTGGATACGAACTTCTACAATATCGAAGTTTTGACAAAACTGTGAACAAGAAATCTTATTGTATAGTGAAACCTTCAATAACGGACACTAAATGTAACCGTAGGGTCGGTGTCTCGTTGACACCACGTCAGGATGTGACATCACCGGGTCTCTCAGGACTCGGAAATCGCGACTTTATGTCACGCGAGCGATAGTGGTTGAGCAGTGGGCTTCGGAGCAGATGAAGTGACTCACTCGGATTCCATATTAACTAACAAATAACAATTTTAGTAAGAACCAAAGAAAATACAGATATATTCGATAGCAGGCATGCTTAAAGTTCCCCTAATTACACTAGGCCGTTTGAGAGAGAGACGGCCGATTGCAGAGACAGAGTTTACATTAAACGACGTTTATCAACGAACGGCCTATAGCTGTTGGCTGGCTGAACCGCAGTTTAAAATGCGTTGCAAAGACGACGATCGTCTATTTCTGACCGTTCTCTAAACGAACTTCGGCAAAACATTAGCTCTTACTTACATCGCTACTACTCCTCTGTTTTAGGAGTCTGTGGCCAACCTGGCAACACTTACCGTGCCCTTAGTTTTCAGTCTTTGTCTCCCGAACAGTCTGTCTGACCACGTGTACGGTACTTCCGGCACTCTGTACAGTATTCGAGCGCTTAATAAATTTGTTTTATTAATTGAAATCTGCAATTATTTGATCAAGACTCCAAAGTGGTGACCCGAACGTGATCACAAGAACTTATTTACCCAATTCTGTATTTATATTATATATTTCCGTCATGAGCAAGAGCGAAGACCCCGTCGAGGTAGCACGTGTATCGGTGAAAATTCAACCCTTTTGGAGAAAGAACGTTAGAGTATGGTTCACACAGGTGGAATCACAATTCGCTGTCTCTAATATCACGACAGAAGTTACGAAATACTATCATGTACTAGGATCGCTTGACTGTGAAATAGCCGAATTGGTCGCCGATCTAATATCCCAACCGTTGACGAGCACGCCCTACACGGACCTAAAAACGCGATTAATCGACGAGTTCGAAGAATCCGAAAGTAGGAAGGCAAAAAAATTACTCCTAGAAATCGAGCTAGGAGACAAAAGGCCCTCGGCACTACTAAGAGAAATGCGGGCACTGGCCGGTACACAAGTAACGGACGAATTCCTTAGAACGCTCTTTCTACAGAGGTTGCCTAACAACGTGCGTTCAGTTTTAGTGACCAAACAAGACAGTCTCCATACCTTGGCCGCTATGGCTGACAAAATTATGGAGATAACCAGTCCTAATTCAGACATTTGTTCCACCAGTGGTGCAACCGCACACCAAACAGATCGGCTCTCTCGTTTGGAGAAAGCTGTATCAGAACTTGCCATTTCGATCCACGAGTTACGAGCACGTTCCCCATCACGCTCAGAGAGACGAAGGCGCTCTCCCAGTCCAAATGTACCGGGTTATAATGTTTGTTGGTATCACTTCAAATTCAAAGCTAATGCCAGGAAGTGCACCCCACCTTGTTCTTTTAAACGTGTCATCAAGGAAGCCTCGGGAAACGACTAAGCCCCGCTCTCTCTGCCACTCAGAGGGGCGGGGAGAAAACATCCTATCGCTTATTTATTTTTGATACTACCACTGGTCGCAGATTCCTGGTAGACTCGGGGGCAGACATCTCTGTCTTACCTCCCACCACCCTAGAAAAACGACATATCAGTAATCATCAACTTTATGCAGCTAATGGCTCCGTAATACCTACATATGGGGAGCGCCTCCTTAAACTTGATATTGGACTCCGATGGACGTTTCGCTGGCCATTTACCTTAGCGGATGTACAACACCCTATTATAGGAGCAGACTTTCTAAGTCACTTTGGCATTCTTGTGGATTTAAAGAATAGGTGCTTGAGAGATAATCTCACTCACTTGGCAACCCCAGGAACTACCCAAACTGTGCTAATGGTATCACCCCAACAGAAGTATTCCAAGCTTCTTTCGGAGTTTCCCAACCTCTTGAAGGAACAACCTACATACCAACAAGTTAGTGACCATAATGTTTACCACACAATCGTCACGACAGGAGCTCCAGTCACTGCTAAGCCGAGACGACTCCCTCCTGATAAGCTTGCACAGGCAAAGCTGGAATTCCAACAGATGATAGACATGGGAATATGCAGGCCCTCCAAAAGTTGCTGGTCCAGTCCCCTACATCTTGTTCCCAAGAAGGACGGCTCATGGCGTCCTTGTGGGGACTATCGGGCCTTGAACGCTATCACGATACCAGACCAGTACCCGATACCCCACCTTCAAGATTTCAATTGCCAACTGAGAGGCAAATCCATCTTTTCTAAAATAGACNCCCTTGCCATCTTGCCAAGGTTTTACTTATCTAGTAACAATCATAGACAGATTTTCACGTTGGCCAGAAGCCATACCGGTGGCAGACATCTCAGCTGAGACTATAGTCAATGTAATCCTTTCTACATGGATTGCACGCTTTGGCATACCACGTGTTATAACCACTGACAGGGGTCGCCAGTTTGAATGTCAACTTTTTGCTGACCTCACCAAAGCCCTGGGAATTAACCACATTAAGACAACAGCTTACCACCCAGCCGCAAACGGAAAAATTGAACGGTGGCATCGTCAGCTCAAGTCCTCGCTGAGAGCTCAGCTGACCGATAATTGGGTTGCTAAACTCCCAACCATCCTCTTGGGGCTAAGATCCTATGTCATACCCAATTATAACACTACAGCAGCAGAGATTACGTACGGCGAACCCATTGCACTGCCTTCTGATCTCTTCGCTGACCATGAGACTACTTCTGCCAATAATTTTCCTACATTGATCTGCAGGATAAAAAATCACATGATATCGATTCGCCCAGTGAGAGATGTCCACCACTCTTCTAAAAATATACTTTTTACACCCTGAGTTGATGACTGCCTCACACGTCTTCGTGCGTCATGATGCATCACGCAAACCATTACAAGCAATCTATGATGGCCCTTTCCGTGTCTTACGACGCTCAGAGTAACACTTCGACTTAGATACACCTCGAGGAAAGCAAACTGTTTCAATCGACCGCCTCAAACCCGCTTTCTTTCTAAAAGTTACAACCACACCTTCGCCATTCTCCAACAGTGACGATAAACCTGTCGACAGAAACGACCACCTGTCGACAGAAACGACCACCTACCGGACGAAACCACGCAAAACCAGGAACCTTTTCCACGGACGACTCGTTCTGGACGAACTGTACGTTTCCCTTCTAAGTTCCTAAGCGTTGTCACTGGGGAGAAAGTATGTGGCCAACCTGGCAACACTTATCGTCCCCTTAGTTTTCAGTCTTTGTCTCCCGGACAGTCTGTGTGACCACGTGTACGATACTGCCGGCACTCTGTACAGTATTCGAGCGTTTAATAATTTGTTTTATTAATTGAAATCTGCAATTATTTGATCAAAAATCCAAGAGTCGTTCGGCCAATCGGGTTATTTCTTCGTGACATCAGAAATGGTCGTCAGCTATATTCCGAAAGCTTAAGGCCGTCAAAATCGGTAATTAATGACAATCCTTTTCCATTTCGATATTTAATTTCGTCGCCATACGATTTAAAACAGTCGATCCCGACCAATGGCAAATATTCTCTCTCGTGATTACTAAACCATCAAATGTATTTCTTCCATAAGCAATTCTGCTTGGAAACTGACAGTTCGAACTATGAAATTGTCCACGAGGTCCTACGAAAATTTGCAATATTCAGCGTTTTGCCAAAATTTCGGTGAGCCTAGAAAAACGGCGTAGCCAGCTGCCTGCAAAGAAAGAAACGTCTTGCTACTGTTTGAATTGCGATGCGAATTTCGCGAGTGCAAAGTACGAAAATACGGTACCTTGCACTTCGACCGCGTTTAAACATGTATGTTTATTCGAAGTTTGGTTGCAAAGAGCGAAACGAAGAAGCAAGTAGTTACAAAATCGATTATATATGTGTTTTATGTTCTATGCCACGCCTGCACTTGATTTGTCCAAAATGGAAACGTCTCTACCGCGAAACGTATTGCTGCAGCATGAAGAAGTGCGCATTGTGAACGGAAAATATATCGGCGGTCCTGCAGAAGCAGTCGTGGCCGAGTGGTTAAGGCGATGGACTTGAAATCCATTGGGTTGTTCCCGCGCAGGTTCGAATCCTGCCGACTGCGAGTGACGTTTTTTTCGTATACGGCCAGACGAAAAACATTCTTTCTGAGTTCAGTACGACACCACTTTTGCGCCGCACGAGATGCGAGCTTTGTCGTCATCCATTACAGCCAATAGCTTGCCAGTCATCGAAAGAATCTCTTTCGAATCATATTTTATTGCCGGTAACAGAGTGGATAAAAAATTTCGGAATTTAACCGGCTTTATCCTATCGGTCGCTTTTTCAGGCGTGGCAGCGACCAATAAGAAAAAGAAAAGGAATCGCGGAAAAACCCACCGCCAAACGAGCAGCACCAGTGCCTTAGAACCAATTTCGGCGGCGTTCCTATCGCTTTAAACTCTGAAAGACGATGTAAGCAGAAATCAAAAGGCGACGGAAGACTATCAAATGCTATAAATATTCCCGTTAGCGAAAAGAAAGTTCCAACAACGTAGTACAGCGATCAAGGAGGAGGAAGAAAGACAGAAAAAAAAAATTATTTTCTCCCCGGCGGGGAATCGAACCTGTTTTTATTTATTTTCAAATATATATAAAATACATATTACATATAATTACATATTATTTTGTAATCGGGGAGATAATAGTATTCGGCAATTATTACAATCTTGGATAGAAGCCTTACTGTTACTGCCCAGAGTTTTGAGCTCAGGGGCACTTACAGAAAAATAATTTATATGATAGACACATATCGACATATATATTACACAAAATGTTAGTTATTATTATATCTTGAGCAGTAGATTTAAATATAAATATTGGTAGTTGATAAAGGCTATGGTCGTGTGGATCTTTTTCTCCATATGTGGTAACCAGCACGGAGTATGTCGTTAATGATGAACTTGTGCATCTTTTTAATATAATTCCATGGCGAGTTTAATTTTTTGAATAGTTCTGTGTTATTTGTGTCTGTTGCACCTAAAGCACCAAAAACCACTGCGTCGAGTAATACTTGATAGCCTTTCGTTTCGTAGAAAGTTTTAATATGTTTGTACTTATCTATTTTTGCTTGTCTCGCTTTAGTTAAGCAGTCTTCTCCATATTGATTCCTTATTGCCAGATCTATAATGGTTATTTGTTTGCATTCTGTATTCTCGACAACTATATCTGGTCTGAGGGTATCATTTTCCATTTCTGGTATTGCCTGATTAATTCTTACATTAATGTTTTCCCCTCTGTTGTTGTATCTAACCGTTTTGGCAATTCTATTTAAAATTTTGTCATGCCTTTCCCGTCTAAGGGGTAGATAGTGAGGGCAGAATGACAGAAGATGTTGGATATCTTCTATTTGCTGGCAGTGGGAGCATCTGTCATTCGTTGTCATATTCCAAAATTTTTTGTTATTATTTGTTGGGAGTAAATCCATTCTTGCTTTGATGGAGAAGCTGTATAAGGATGGATGTAGCTCCCCTGTATTCATCCAAGAGTTGGATACATAGTTTCTCGTGCAAGCCATTAATTTTCCCTGTCTACCAGCTGAATGCCATTGACTTGCTAACTGTAGTTGGTTGTAGTGCTTTAATTTTTTTATAATAGCGTCATGTTTAATAAGGAAATTTTCGTTGCTATTCGATGAATTCGTGATCATGATATGGAAGACCCCATCTGCACATATCACCTTGGCATTGCTGGTTTTAAATGCCTTTGGAGCGTGTGCAGTAGGGTCCATGCAATCTACTGTCCGTGCTTTTTTTTGATTTTCTAGTTCGCCGTTAAGAAACTGCGTTATTATTTCGTTATGTGGTTTATTTTGAGTGCATTCAGTGTGGTATCTTAGTTTCAGCAGAGTGGTTATTTCGTTTCTTATGGTTTGTTTTATAATATTGTCGTCCGAGTTTAGCAAACTGATCACATGTTTCACTTGTGTAGCACAGCTCCAGTTCCAAGGCTCAGGAATGTTTAGGCCTCCACTTATTCGGTCGGCATGAAAGAATGCACGATGTGTATGGGCCGGTAGTTTAAGATATTTTCTTATAGCCTCACGTAATGCTCTGCCCAAGAGGTCCGCTTGGTAGATGCCAAGACCATTGAGACGGATGAAGTATTCCCACTTTGGTGTATTGAAGGTTCTAATTAGGTGGTGTTTTTGGTAGAGGTGTAGGCAACAGTTGGCGGTGTTGTTGAGCAGCCGTTTGGTGTAATTTAACAGTTCGTGGAACGAAGCGTAAAGACTATTGTTCCTCATTCCCACTTGGTTACCGAGGTATTTGAAAGAGTCTTTGCCTTTGCATAACGGGATGTTCCTGTTATTTACCTTAAGACGGATAGTAGTGTCGTCGATTCTCCGTGATATGCCCTTTCCGTGAGATTTGCTGGCCATCAGTTTACATTTTTCAGTATTGATACGTATACCAGTAGTTTCGCGGAATCTAGTAACAGTGTTGTGCAGCTGGCGCAGATGTTGTGGTGTTTCGGCTAGGACGGTCAAGTCGTCTGCGTAGAGAAGGTGGTTGAACCCAAGCGAGGTCTTGGCACAGCTGTTCAGTTTACGGGAAAGATTCTCGATGACTATGTTATAGATTAGTGGTGAAGCTGGGTCACCCTGCCTGACTCCTCTTTTTTGGCGTATTAATGTTGTTTTACCGTCATTTGTTTCCACCCAGAAAAAAATGTCTTTATACATTGACAGAATCCTGGAAGAGGTGTCATCGTCCAATCCAATAGTATGGAGCGATTCTTCGATTAGACTGTGATCCACCGAGCCAAAGGCGTCTTTGAAGTCGTATGAGCACACGTATATATCCTTTCGNTTACATTTACAGGATTATATGAATGTTTTTGTATTGAATGGATATGAAGATCTAGATACATTAAAAGAAATTGAAAAAGAAGATTTGGATAGTTTAGGAATTCATAATCCTGATCATTCTCATAAATTATTAAGAGCAATTGAATTGTTGCAAGATTATGACGGTGAGATTTTGCATATAAATTTGTTAAAAGTTTATCAATAATCAATTTTTTTTTTCTGAAAAAATCAAAATGTTCTACATTTGATCAAATAAAAATATTAAGACACTATTATGACATAGATAAAAATGTATATTCAATGACACACTATTATAGCATAATAATGTGTATAGGAATGCTCTGTTGAACAGTTAATATTTATTAAACACAATAAATGGTAACTGTTATTACTCATATTAAATCTTTTAAATTTCCATATTTAAATTTGAAAAATACAATTTCTAATGCAATTTTTTATTTTTATAGGCATTTAAAATACACTGCTGGCCATTAAAATTGCAACACCAAGAAGGAATGCAAATAAAAAAAAAGATATTTATTGTACATAAACATTATGGCATGAAGACAAAATGATTAAATTTGCAAGCCGTTTGAGGGTTTACAGGGGTGTGAAATTAGTAGACACAGTTGCCACCCCTGGCAGCTAAAACGGCCCTTATCCGGTTAGGCATGGAGTCAAACTGGGCTTGGATGACAGAAATGGGCAACTTATTCCATGCTGCTTCAAGTCTATGCTACGCTTCATTGACTGTATTAGCAGGAGAGGGGTGGCGGATCAGTCTCTCAGCAACCCATGACCAGATGTTTTCAATTGGCGAGAGATCTGGAGACCGTGCAGGCCAGGGCAACAATCGAATACCCTCTGTATTGAGGAAGGCCAGAACAGGACGTGCAACATGAGGTCTTGCATTATCTTGTTGGAAGATGGCGTTTCACAGGCCTCAAAGATAGGGCACAACCACTGAACGTAAGACGTCAGAAATGTACCGATCTGCGTTCAAATTACCGTCAATTCGAACTAGAGATGTGCATGTCATGTATCCAATGGCTGCCCATATCATCACACCAGGTGCAGGGCCCCTATGCCGATATCGAATACAAGCAGGTGACGAGCGGTCTCCTCGGAGCCTCCAGACACGTATACAGTTATCAGAATGCTGCAAGCAGTACCGGGACTCGTCTGAAAAGACAACATTGTGCCACTCCTGTATCCAGCTTTGTCGTTGGGCGCATCAGAGTCGCCGTCTCTCTATATGCTGCATTGTCAAGGAAAGCCGAAGTAATGGTCGCCGTGCTGACAGTCCATGCTGCTGCAAACGTCGTTGCACCGTACGAGCAGATACTGGACGTGCTGCAAACAAGCACATTTCCTGACTAATGGTCCATGATGTGGTTGTACGGTTTTGCACGGCTGACCTCACAATATGTCTATCCTCTTGGGCGTTAGTCATGGGAGGGCGTTGAGATCCTGCATGCCGTTCAGTAAGACCCTCAGCAACCCAGCGATTCCATATTCGCATGACAGTGGTTGGATTTCGACCAGTGCGAGTGGCAATATTACGGAATGATAATCCACACTCTCGATAGGCAACAATCCTGCCTCTATCGAATTCCGACACTTGCTGGTAAGCATTTCTTCTTCTTATTCGAGGCATAACACGATATTCTGATGAAACCCCGACCTTACAAAGCGATTTCCAAATGAGAAATCCACTGCACAACTTTTCTTTTATGCAGTGCTTCAGATGTCGTTTGTCCCTCCTGCGTCGTCTAAATACGCTGAAATACTAATCATTTGCATATTCCAACCTCTTCTTCCTTTCATATGATTTTGACGTTCGTACGATCATTCCTTCCTGGTGTTGCAATTTTAATGGCCAGCAGTGTATAATATAAAACTTGAATACAAGTCTTAATCATTTTATACTTTTTGGAAGGTTGTTATTGTTATTATACTTACATTCTGCTGTGCTAAGGATTTTTTGTAATTACATTTATTTTTTCTTTTGAAATTGAGTTAGGAACATTTTCAGAAATCTTAATAGTAAAGTGGGGTATGTTAGAACAAACAACTCTACAATGAATGAAAGCTACAACAAACAGTTTTTATCTACAAAATCAAAATGTTATGACAAATTTATATGCTGTAATGAACACAGAAGAATACTATTGGCTGAATGTGTGTGCGCACGATATGTCAAGGTTTTCCCAGTTTGATTGGAGTATCAGTCATCATATTTGTTTTTGTTTCAAAGATTCAGTTATCTACTTTTCATGCACATTAGATTGTGTATTCTTTTTATTAAAGAAATATTGTTTATGCTTTTCAAATTTACAGTATATAAAAGTTAAATAAATTAATTTTATACTATTTCTACACTTATTTTTTCACTTTATACTATATTTTCTTGTTTAAATGGTCATGTTGGATGGCTTTGCTTTAGATTGTGGGCCTGGAATGAATTGCCTTAAATATATATATTTCAATGTATGCTAGAATAAACATGCTATAATAAACGAGGTTTGTTCAATTATGTTTTTTCTAGAATACCCAATTGTATACTTCAAATATTTCTGATACAAGTAATTTCAAATATTTAAGTGGTCAATAAATTAAAAATTAGTTTTTTATCTATGAGAAATGTTTAAATGCAAGGTTAAATGACCACATCTACAAGTGCTAGGGTAAAAAACAGTAACTGCCTATAAGTACTGTAATTATGACCTTCTTTCCTGGAAATATTCCTCAATGCTGCATTATGGTTGGAAGCACATCTCCAGAGAAACTAACATTAGATAATTACCGGCACTAACAAGAGTAATAATTCACAAAAAGGTTATATATGACTTTTCATAAAAAGGATGATCAAATTCGACAAGAGTTTTGTTCCTGTCAGTAAGAGGACTCTTCAAAAACCCCTGTTGTCATATGGCATGAAGCTTTATCTGGGAGAAAAAAGAAAGATATTATCAGTTCTTTTCACACATTTTTCCTGCAGTTTGTGATGTATGACACATTATTCTGTGGCTTGATAACTGCAATGGGCAGAATAAAAACTGGGTGTACATCATGAACTTGGTGGAAATATTGATGGATGTTATCAAATTGAGATTCTTTGAGCCAAGACATGCTTATGTCTACAAGTAACTTACACCACTAAGTAGAGCTTAGTCATGAGAAAAAGGGAAAGGTTTGATTTTTCTGACTACAAACATGCTATCAGAGATAGCAAGTTGAAGCACATTAACATAAAAGAAATGAATCCAGGAAACTTTTGATACTGGCATGACCAAACTTTAGAGTACAAGCTCAAGAAATCTGTTTCAAGATAATGTATGGTGTAGATGGTTTGTATAACAGTGCACAATAAATTTCTTGCTTACAAGACTGCCTTCAGAACTGATCAAAAGGAAGTAAACTTCCTAATAGCAAAATGTGCATGAAGGAGCTCTAAGGAATCTCTAAGGAAAAGATCCCTCTTTTTCTTAGAGGAAGCCATCATCATAAATCTGTTACCCTTAATACCAGAATTATGCCATTTGTTTTAGAAAGAAATGCCAGTGGCAAACATGGGTGACTTGTTAGATACAGAATAAATTTAGAATTCAGTTTTAAAAAGCATTACATAATCTGAACTTCAGGAAGCAAAAGTGTCAGAATCAAATATATAATAAATTAATTTATTCTTAATTAAGGAAATAATTATCAGTAAAATGGCCTATAAGATGAAATTATCACAAAACCATAATTCAATTTTTTATCAAATTTCCCTGGTAGAATAAGAAAGTAGAATAGATACAAAATATTAAAACCAATATAAATGCATTTGTAAAGATATAAAATCAGTCTTGTGTGATAAAAATTGACCAATTTTATACAGAAAAGTAATTTTCTTATGCTCAGAACTCCTTCTGAGAAGGGGTTTTGAGCATAAGAAAATGCAGATCTTAAGGGTTAATGCCCCAGATCTGCGTTTTTCTTTTATTACATGCTACTTCCTAATTTTTTCCTGGATCTACACTTATTTTCTATCAAAACATAGATACAGAGGTTTTTTACATGCTTAGCAAGAACACTATCTACAAATTAAGGTGCTGGTACCTGCCTAGCAGGTACTGTTTAAAAAAACATTATATGAAACAAGCATAATTTGATGGAATATAAATATATAATTTAAGCTTGGTTTTTGCAGAATAAATATTGTTAATATGGTAAGTATAAATAGAAATACATGTTTATCTACAAATTTATAAGATTGTAAATTATAATCCTTTTCTTTACTATGGTGATATTAAAATTTGATTTTCTTCTATAATTATAAAAGAATAAGTTAATAAATTTTATTAGTTATTACTTTCTGTATTTTTAATATTATTAATAATGATCCATATTTTTAATTGCTTAATCCATTCTATTAAGTTATTTGACTTTGTTCAAGTAGACTGCAAATTGAAACATTTGAGGATGAATTATAAAGGCTTCAAAACATTTTTTGTAATAATAAATAAAATATTTTTTACTAGTTGTAGAAATCCTATTTGTTTTGAGACAAATGTTTACATTAATAAGTTAGGATTTATTAACATTCTTTCTGAATTTTTTTATTTATTTAAACTTTATAAAGTTTATTGATGATAAGGATATGTTTCAAAGAAAATTTTTCAGGTTTCAAGACATTCACAAAGAAATTAATTAAAGTTCATTAAGAATATTATTATTATTTTATACGTATTTGTTGTTTTGAAAGTATGATATTTGTTTCATAAATTCGTTTAATTTTAAATTTAAATTTAACAATTTTAATTACAAAATATTAAGTATGTTTATATTCTAAATATTTTTTTTAATACTAAGGAGATGCACAAACACAAGAAGGAGAATATCAAGAAGAGAATCAAAAATCATCACCTAGAGATTCTGGCTGTTATGCAAGTAATGAAAATCTCATACATAAGGAAACTGCTCTTTCTCAGAATTGGCTTACAACAGCCGAAAATGAAGACAATGAAGTCAGCCAGTCAGAAAGTGGAATCCAGTCTAGTGAAGGCCCAGAATCTGGAGCAACAATTAATAACTTAGATACTAACAGTATTTCGGGAGAATATAATTCGTCTTCATTTCTGACATCTAACGAAACACCTAGTTCTAATGAACAGAATGTTGAAGGAAATTTACCAGTTACCAATTACAATATTCCTCCGCACTTTTCTTTCGATGCGCCGGCAACGGCTGGTTACGAACAAGAAGTCAACGTGCCGACTCGCAATCAAGACAGTATTACGTGCTTGGAAAGAGAGAAAATTTATGACAAGAGACATTCGTCTAGGTCTGCGGGTCCTTCAGTAACTTTTGGTTCGGGTAAAAGCTCTGATTCGGCCTTTTCGGATTATTCGAAAATGAATGGCAGAAGCGAGCGAGTCTTAAGTGAGCCCAATTGTAAAGTTTCTCATTTACTGTCTTCACATTCGCCCATAGCCAACAGTATTTTACATTCTCGTATCGAGAGTAACGAAAACTACAGAGATATATATTGCAGTCACACAAAAAATTCCATTATTTATTCCCGCCAGACTTCGGAAAACCATCCCATAGACATTTTTAGTAAAAACTCTAAGTCTGCCTCGTTACCTCGTAATAAATCTCAAAACAGTGACAGTGGCAATAATACATCTGTACAAAAGCATAGTTTTTTTGAAAGTAAGAAGTCTAAGAAATCAAATCAGAGGAAAGCAAGTCTACAACCAGTTGCAAGGAATCCATGTCCTCTACCATTGTCTATTTTATTAGCAGTTACAGATAAACTTGAAGAAGAATGCATTGATCTTTGTGAAGAGCCATATACAGATAAGGTATAATTTTCATTGCATTTTATATACAGATCTTACACATTTGCTAGTGTAAGTCACAATATGATTCTTTGAGTAAAAATAGCATTTATCAAGAATTTTTGTTATTTTGTAAAATATTTTTCCCAATACAATTTCTGAATGGTATGATTGGTAGGTAATGATTAGGAGACTTCACAATTAATATAATAAATATGGGTAATGAGAAATGAAGGACAATAAAAATATTTGTTTGAAATAATATGACAGCTAATAACAATACAAGAAATCAGACAGAGGTCATATGACTGACTTTTTGAATGCCTCTTAACAGTAGGAGATATTACAAACCATTTGTGTTCTGTTGGTTAGAATTCTAATACTAAAGTGGAAGTAAATTAAAACTATATTTAATACATCATTGATCCATAAGCATAATCCTGAAGTTCTTGTTCAAGTGAAACAAGAATTTCAAGCACTCTTTTGGTATTTATCCATTGAAATAAACTAAAAAAGTCAAGTCTTAGGGAGATATTAAAGTATTACTTAATCATGTCAGTTCAAAAATATTTGAAATACAGTCGACCCCCCATAACGCAATAGATACATTCCACTTTATAAGAATTTTGCGTTGCAGGAATCCTTAAATACATGAGCCAATTGCGACCTGGCATGTGTGCAGTTTACAGACTACGGCTGTTTGAAAGCTTTTCTTCCATAAAATTAATTGATTCTAGACTAATTTGACTCAACATTTCCAAAGCACATATAATTTTTTGGGAATAATCCATATAAACTATGCTATAAACAAAAATTGTAGGATTACTTACTGAGTGTGCACACTGATAAGTTATTTTTCTGCGAAAAATTTGTTGAACTTTGGAGACATCATTAATAGAAATAATTTTTATGGCCGTTGAATAAGAAATGTTTTTTTCACAAGAAATGTATAAAATTACAGTACTGTATTAGACTTACAATATCTAATTTATATACTGTACAGATGATAGTAAACTCAACTTACCCGCCTAAACTCTCCGTAGCATGTAAGTAGTTCGGCTGCTCGTCCTCTATTGGTCCAGATTCAACCAATTCTGTAGCGACACGAGTCAGCGATGACATTTTACCGCATTTTACGAGTCTCTTTTAGTGTCTTTATACGAATATGGTCGCAATTTTTTCGCCATGATATACAAATCTGCATCATATGAACTCGCGTTATAAGGGGGTTGACTGTAATTGCTCAAAACAAGAATTCATACTGTTATGTATTGTACATAGAATTATTTAATGGCAGACTCTCAAATGTCATTCAGTAATTTTTATTACTTCTGCTATATTTACAGATATAAACCACTTAATGGCAGAGGTCCCCTAAGATTATAATGGAGTCAAAGAATCTGTGTCTCTTCTGTATTTAGATACAATAGTAGCACAATGCTAAGTATTTTTGTGTTGCATATAGCCTATGAGTAGTAAACATGATACCATATGGGTTTGCCTAAGCACACACTATGAAGTGCTTGATGTCATATTTCTCAGAATCATTCCTTTTGTTAAATAGCACATACCCATATTGGTATACAAGAAGAATTGTTTGTGCTCATTTTTCACTTACAAAACTGTCATGCTATCAACTGTGCATTTTACAAATATTGTTAGAAGCATTTCCCCCAGTTTCAAAACTCATGATGAGATTAAATTCTTAATAAAACTAATTTTACTCAGAGAATCATCATCCTTCACCTCATATCACCGCTATAAAATATCCTATACATTCTAAATTATCAATCAATCATATAATTAATTACATAATAAAATTCTCTGTCTTTGGAAACAATCTGATGATAAAAAGAATAAATAAAAACAGACTGAAGAATACAAATTATTATTAACATTGCTTCAAGATGGCAATAAAACTTAATTGATTTGAAAGTTTTTATTTCTGGATCCAACATAGCTTTGCAAGGGACAGGGCCCAATGTATTTTGGTCAAACTATCCATAAAAATTTTTGTGGTTCCAACTCTGATCAAATTAGATCCCCAGAGCAGCAAGTCAATATTGTTATCCTTTGGTCATTTAGATTTGAAAGTATTATTAGCATAAACTAATGTTTCCTTTCATAAATATAATGAAATCTTTTATAAAAGATAAAATTCAATAAAAATACAGTAGTGTCGATTGTCCAAATCAATTGGGGACTGGGGTGGTTCAGAAAATCAATTTTTCGGATAACCGATTATGTACAAAAAAAATACATTATTAATATAATATATTAGTATATCCCAATAATAGCATATTAATATATCCCATGTTTAAATGTTTCTCCATTGCATGTTGCTTCACGTTGAATTTTCGGTGATGTTAAGCCTAGTGAAAATTTTTTAAATAATAATCGTGGCTATTGTATTGTTAAAATATATTTATTTTGCATGTACAAAATAAAGAAATAATTTTAAAAATATAAAAACAAAAAGAAATTATATTTTAGAAGTTAATCTAGTATCAAAAACGTTCGGTTCAGCACGATACAGTCCGACTGGAATGCTTTCAGTTAACAGACGTTTCGGTTGATCGGCATTTGGGTAATCGATGCTCTACTGTATATAGAAACTAAAAGTCAATGAGCAATTATTTATTGTGACATCACCACAAAAATATTTCAGCCCAGCATTAATTTATTTAATTTAAAATATATGCTTGCCACTTCAAATTAGTAGTGACTTGCCCCTGTTCATCATACTTTTCCTTTAACAGAGATGTGCCAATCATCTATCTAACTTCTTTTAGGAAAAAATTTTTTAATTGAAATAACGACTTCTGGTTTGCATCGGAATGTATGTAGTTGTATGTAGTTAATCAAGGCCTCCTGTCCCTAAGGTTTCCATATCTGGTCTTGTCTTTCATCTATCAAATTCTGTTTTTGAGATTAAGAAAGAAGGATAGACAACAGTAGGAATTTATAGGTTACAATTTTTTTCAAATTGCAGCCCAAAAAGACCACCAAATTAAGTCCATTATCATCTTATCCATTTTTGATGTTTAATAAAAATAATTTATGTTGCTAGAATGTTATTGAAATTAGACTGAAGATCAATTTTATTATTACAGTAAGAATTGAACAGTAAATGTAGTATGATTAAATTTTAAAATTAAATTCCTCATTTATAGAAATCTATGCAAGAAAACTTTTATCGTTAAACTGGAAACATTCAAAAAATTCATTTAAATATGACAAAAAGTCATTAGGGCATCAAAGTTTTAGAACATTTTTAAGATGTTTGTTAAAAATATTCTGTTTTTTTTTTTTTCTTTTTCTTCTTTTGGAGCATTAAAAAGAATTGGTTAATTGGGTCATTATAGGACCAGAGTGTATTTTGTATTTTCCCAAAATTCAATAAGTTATATGCAATTTGAATGTTGCAGACTCTGTGATACATCTTTCACTAGTATGCACTGCCTTATGCTCAGGATTTGTTTACATGAGTTCTTTATTCAATCTGATAATGATACAATGCATGATTACACTGTGTTAAAAAAAATTGCAAAAATATTCATCTTATCAGTGAACATGTTATTGCCCAGTTTCTATAGGTGTCATATGTCCAAACAAAATTCTGATTTGTGGAATAGTAGCATGCTGAATTATTATCTGACATTTTTGGATTGTCTGGTACCAGAATAACAAACTTTCACTGCAAAATATAGCTGTATAAAGAACAAAAACCTTCAAAGGACTGTCTACATTTTATAAAACTTTTTATATCTATGAATCTAATGTGGCATGAACTGATTATTAAATATTACTATAAACAGATCTGCCACTCTTTAGGGGAAAGTAGAACAAACACACTTTTTTCTAATCAACTCTCATAGTCTTTATTTTGCAAGTACAGTAGTGTGAGAATACGAGGGCACTGGGTCAATCCCTAATTGCCACTTACACGCCGAGTTGATGAAATGCACCCACTTTGTCTTTTAGATGGCTTTTCATGAGTGGCAAGGGGGTTGAGCAAGTTGGCAGGTGTCTGTGTTTCGGAGTGACAGGAGACAGGTTTCCACAAATAAACAAAGCATTTATTATATGACTAAATCTAAATTACAGGAGGTTATAGGAAGCTAGACATGGTTAAATATTAACGAAGTTCTATACAAAAAGGGTAGCCCTTAGCTAAGCCTATTCCCATTAGCTGTGGAGAGTGTATTCTCAGATTGCTATCAAAAATATTTTATGCGGGAAGGAACTGTATACGATGATCAGTCCCTAAGCAGAATCGTTGTCCTTGTCCGTTGTCTTCTCAGCAGGATTGGGAACTCAGAGACTAAATGTGCACTATTTCAAGTACAACTTTCTTTCTATTGCCCTGAGCTTCCGGTAGCTCTCGCTTTTATATGTTTGTTGTGGGAAAGGGGTCACATGATCATCCATTGTTGACGATGATGGTGCATTCTTGACAAGTAAGTGTTAACTTTCCCACTGACCTCCGATCTGACTCTCCTCTTTTTTCTGGAGATGTTTACATTTCAAAAAAACCGATTAGCATTAATTTTAAGATCCCCTTAAAAATATACAGGCTCACAGCAGCAACTGATTGTATCAGTAACTATATCCTATTTCTGCTCCTTTAATCTTTCTTCTGAAACTTCAAAAGTATTTCCCACACAAATGTTATATTACAAAATGATTTTATTAAAATATGAAAAGGAATGTTTCTAATAGGTGAAAATCAAGATTGGATGATTTGAATTTTAATCTGTAACAGCATAATGTGATTTAAAACCAATCTCAAAATAAAATTTTTAATTATTGTTTATATGAGATTTGTAAGAATGTAATACAAAGCTGCAAGGGCTGCAATATTATTGAATGCAAAATACCTTTTTTAGTTTTTAGATTAGTATTGCTTTTACAACTTTCTCAAAATTTGAGGTTCCTGGAGGATGCATAAATCAATTATATATTAAAAAATACATTTTCAATATTTAATTTCATAATGAAATCATCAATTATAACATTTTAATAAAATATGCCAGTGATTAGGAGCTGTATAAATAGAATATTCTTCCTAATTTCTTAGATTATATAGAAATAACTTGTATTTAATTTCTATTTATCAGTTAATTATTACAATTTATATTTGCAGATGTTGACATGGATGTAAAATGTTATTAATAGCCTTATATTACAGATGGGATTTTGTGGAATTCCTCCTGCTCTGGTACAGAGGTATGCAGAAGAACTGCATCAAGATGTGTATGACATAGCACAAGCTCTAGACCAAACCCGTATAAATGCTTTACAAATGAGAGGACACAGAGCAGTATGTACATATTTTTGTGTGTATTAATAAAAGACTGAGAGACTAAATTTTTATCTATAAAATATGTAATTTGTTGCAATATACCTTTATTTGGAAGATGATAATCAATAATAAATATATTTTTGTTGTAAGAAATGTTTAATTAGTCTGTTTCAGCAACTTATAATTTCTAATCTAATGTAAATTTAAGTCAGTTTAATATACTAAAAATAGAATTTACAAATTGTTTAGGTAATTAGTACTTTTATTCTTTGGAAGAATAAAATACCTGTAAAAATTTTTCAGGTGCCGAATGATTTCCTTGGAGATTCCTGTCTAGATCCCATGTTAGAAGCAAATTACGGCAGTGTGACGGACTGGTTGGTGTCCCTGGGACTTCCTATGTATGATAATTTATTAAAATTAGCTGGTTTCAATCATTTAAATCAAGTCGCAGCAATACGAACCACCGACTTACAAGACTGTGGTATAACTAACGTGCAGCATATCCGCCTGTTAACTTCGGCCATCAGTGTTCTTCATTTGCATACCAATCCTAGCGAACAAAGGTACAATAGTTCGGAGTGAACATCGCTCCAGATGGCCAATAATTTTTCTGTCTCTGAATACTGTGATTCAAGCGAAATTTGGTTTATTGAAACGGAATCAGAATGCAATCACTCTAATCACAATGGGCATTGATAATTTACGTTAGAATCTTAATTTGCAATTTGAAGACGATTGTTTCCGAGGGTTCACGGTACGGACAAGAGGTAAGGAAAATTCTTCCGTTCACGTCCGATGTAATAAAGTGCCTGCATCGCGCATTAAATTTTATATATACTAAAATAATATCTGATTAAGGATATAACTGTAATCATTCCAATCCATTATTTTGAGATTATAATATATCAGCATACATATCACTGTCTAAAGCATTACGTGTGTGTGGATGGAAAACATTAATGATTTTGACACTACTGTTTCTTAATACCAAAAATTAAAATAAGAGATCAGTTCCTTTATTTCTAATTTATTGCACAAAATTTTTTTTTATCCTCTCTCATTTTTAATCACCCAACAGAGATTGCTGAAACAATGGCAAGTGGGTGACAAATCTAATTTAAATATTTATGCATATGGAATTTGTTTGTCTCGTGTGCATTATGTATTTATTTTTAAAAAAATTGTACACAAAATTTATTATCCATTTCTATGTAAATTTATATTTTGAGTTTAATAATTTATATACATATATATAAAAAGCCAACTATCGCCAGCAGAAATCAATTTTTAAAATATTTATCAATGAAAGAGGGCATATCATAAAGATTACATGTGTTTATTATACGCTCAAGGAAATAAAATGTGATATAATTTGAAATAATATATCAAAAAATTTGCACATATCGAAATTTGTTTATTTAAAAATAGAATTTGTAGCACGATGCAAAATGATTTCTTTTTTATCAAAATATCAGAGAATGAAATATTCAAATAACGGCAAAATTTGTTTAAATAAAAACGTCCTGGACGAGCATTTATCGGTACATAAATTCTGTTATCTGGCAGTTAGAGAATGTTGTGATTTGTGTGTTAGACCAATAAAGTTAAGTGTAAGAATGTTTAAATGGCATCGAATAACTTTTGTGGTCGAGACTTCCGACTCGACAAATATTATCTAGTCAACTGTCCGGGTTGCGAGCTTAGTTCACTTTATTCATGATGAGTAAGTCTGTCACAATTTATTTTAATAGACATCCGCATGAGGATATCAGATTTGGATGCAGCCAACACCAAAAAAAAAACTCATAATAATAAAAGATTGTCCAAAATATATTGATAAGGTCAAAGTTTAAAACCAAAAACAAACTATATTGCCACTTTTTGCTACTTAATGGTATAGAAATGAAATGCTGGCCTTATATTTGATGAGACTAATCTCTTGTATATTGCCAAATAAGGTATGACTTTTTAATAACTGAATTTTGCACATCAGTAGCCTCTTTGTAATAAGGTACATTGTTTTTACTGTAAATATCTGCTTCCTGCGTACTTAACTGATGATGCAGTTATGTACCAAAATTTGTTTTCAGTTAAATCATGCCAATAGTTTTATGTACATGTACATATATATATTACAATATATAAATATACAATTATACTATTGTGTTTTTTATGATTTTTTGTCAATTGTTGGTGAATAAAATATTGTATTATCTCAAAAGAAAACTGTTTGATTTAATACTTTAAAAATTCTGATAAAATAATTTAAACAAATTACCAGGACACAAAAAGAATGCTAAAGCTACTGTATTTACAAATTCAAAATTGATAAATATAAAAATGCTCTTTATATAAAAAGCAGTTTTGTTTTACAAAATACTTCATTTAAAAACTGTCGATTCTGTACAATATATATTCATAAATAAGTGCATTTTAAATAAATAATAGTAATTGTAACGTTGACTAGACACATGAAGACGACGACAATGCTCGTCACCTTTTGCAGGGACTAGCAGGAGGAGAAATATCTGACTGAATCCAGTCGACGTTCTCTGGATTCTGGTTTTTGAGTTCCATTGAATCTCCACATGGTAACAGTTCTTCTGCTAATGCCCAATTTATTGATTCTGTAATCATTAAAAAATAAAGTGTCCATTTTCCATAAGAATGTTTTATACTGATTATTTAGTTACAGAATATATTTAGAAATTATATGGAAAACAGCTAAAAGTTTTCTAAGTAGATATTTCACACCAATATTAACCAATGATTTTCTTCTTCTTGAGCAGAGAATTCTTAAATTTGTCATTATCAAAAAAAAAAAAAAATGCATGGTAATTTTAATATACAATGCATAATTAAGTACAGTGATACCCTGAACTTATGCGATAGGTGGGACCGAGCGATAACTGTGTAAGTCGAATTCGCGTAAGTCGGGGTATAATTTCGCAATTTGTGTAAAAACCAAGTCGGATATATGTAAACTAATAAATGTTCTCGTTAATCTTATCTCGTCTTTTGATTCGTTCACGGTTACAAGAAATCATCACATAGAGTCTCTAAAGTCTCCGTAGATATAACAAACACAGAAATAAATAACACAAAATAAATTGTGGCTATGTGTCGATTCTGCGCGACATGTCTGAACATGTAAGCCGAACAATAGTGTGGAGGGATTGAGTAATCGAGAGTTGCTTGGTGCTCAAACAAAAGATGAATCAATGAGATTTGAAAATTGCGTAACTCCGGGTTCGCATAAGTCGAGGTATTACTGTACACAGTTTGTATAATAAAAATATAGCAAGAACAATACTATTACACTTTTCAATTTAACTATTATGATGCAACTGTTAATAAAGTTCATTTATACACAAGCCAAACAATTCTTTATTCTTCTGTCTTAAAGTTTAATCTGGTTGTGAAATGCTTTATTTCTAGTTCACTGGATCAAAGATTTGAATCCTGCATCAGTCATAGATAGTTTTGATTGTCAGATTTTGTTTAGATTGGTTGAAAGTCATTAATTTTTTAATGTGCAAATCCACATTAGTTATAAATATTTACTGATATTATGTGGAGCAATTTTTAAATAATCCATAAAGTAATGAAAACTGTTAATGTTTTGATGATGAAAAAATGTAACTGATCCAGTATTAAGAAGAAGATAATTTTGTAACAAATCACAAACACACTTTAAACAACCCAAGTCCAATAACAAATATTTTTTACATTAAAAAATTTTTGACAGACATTTTCAGAAAAACAAACAGTCTTGTATGCATGGCAATGCTTTATGAAAAACTAGGGAATGCCAACATAATACCAATTAATAAAAATTAAGTTATGTCTTAAATTTAGTATGTGTTAAATTTTATATTTACCACTGTTTAATTTTTGTTGTTATATAGCAAGGGTGGGCAAGCAAGAGTTCAGTGGGAGCCGAAATGTAGGTTTTGCAAAATGCATGAAAGCCACAGTTCTGTACTTTTTTCATTCTTTACCGCAGTTTTATTATATAATATAAATATAATATAAAACAAATATTGAATTTTTTAATAAACATATTTTCGCAAAATTGTGGATATAAAATTGTAAAAATAATAATAAAAAGCAAAAATTAACACTCAGCAAGAGCCACATTTGCCCATGTCTGTTATATAGTATTATGTTTTAGTTCCAATTTTTAAAAAATAACATTTTGAAAAGTTGTTCTGCACATTCCAATTTGGAATATTGTTAATTTCAAGACCTGAGACAGACCTTGGTCAAGGTCAAAAATGTTTGTCAAAAGTTTTTACATTAAAAAATTTTTGTTACTGGATTTTAAAGGTTGTTTAAAGTATGTTTATAACTGATACTTTTATAATATCCAAAAGAGTTACCTAGTTTATATATTAAAGCCACCAGAAAAACAAAGAGATACTGACCTGCATTGGTTTTTATAATGGGAGAATTAATTTCATTATTCTCAATCCATCCATTGTGAGGACTTACAGTATGCTGCAAAGGTGGCAAATCCCTAGGTTTAGTCATTTCCAAATCCGGAGCCACTTTATTTTTAAATCTCTTTTTGCATTTTCGCTTTACTTTCTTATGACTGTCCATCGATTCTGAAACAAGAGAGAATTCATTTGAAAGCATCCTAACATTTCAAGATTGAGTTTTTGTTTTCAATTAAATTATGTAGTTGAACTTGTCCATCTTGAATATCACAGGAAGGAGAAAATATTCAAAATAGACAGATTTTCAGATATAGAGGTTCCTGTACAATAAACAGTAATAGGCTTGATTGGAAACACTATTTTATTATTATAATATCAATAGCAAGTACAGTACATACTTGTATTAGGTTTAAATAAAATATTTTTGAGTCACCTTAACAGAAATAGTTTCTGATGCCCAACTTTCTTTGACTGGACAAATTCATAGCCAAATTAGAGAAAAGCAGCATTAATTACAACTGCGTATCCTATTGCAGGAATGCTTCTGAACCACAATTTATGCTATCAAAATGTAGTTGCTGAACTTGGAATTTGTAGATTAAAAGCAACATACGATGCATACAAAATTTTCAGCAAATACTATGTATTCAAATTAAATACAAAACAATTTTCTGGAAATTTTGTATGCATCGTATGTTGCTTTTAATTTATATATGTTCCAGCTATTAGTGACTTTTATGCTTGAATTTATAATTGACACTTCAGTCCATAATTTTGAGATATACAGGTTTGGGAAAAAATTGAGATAAACATTGAACTTTCAACCTAAAATCAATATATTTTCTGAGGAAAAAATACAGTTGAACCTTTCTTTATCTTAAATTTATGTCTTGAAAACATCTCGAAACATGTTTAGGAAAATAGGTTTGAGTCCTACTCTGAGTTGGTCTTTTTTCTAGCATTTTCTAAATTTAATAATTAGAAATTAATTTCTCTCAAAATGAGATGGCAGCCCATTTACTTTTGGGTTGGGCCAAATTTCAAGATTTAATTAATTAAGAATTAACACAAACAGCCTGAAATTTGGATTTGTGGTGTGTGTATATATATATATATCACATACCACACATACAGTATATATAAGCAATAGGCAAAAGAATTTTTCCAGATATTTTTCAGTTTAATCATTTTCAAATTAAATTTAAAATAGAAACTCAATTTTTTTTTACATTAAAATGAAATTAGATACTTTTCTTCTTTTCTCATTTCACCCTCCCAGCTGTTATGTATACATAACCAGGGAAAATACTGGAATCGTCAAATTTGACCCCTGGGTTTTTGCAAACTGACATTTTGAGACCCCCTAAACAAGAAGAAAAAAACCAGGAAAAAATATATGGGGTGTTGTCTTCTATTTCACTTAATATCCCAGGATGAGGTAAAGGTTAAGAAACAAAATGTGACAATAGCTTGCATATAAGGGGCATTGATGCTATTAAATTTTGATTGGTAAAAGGGGTGGGGAGATAGAAGTGGTCACATGTCATATCTCAAGAGGTCAAACTTAATGAAGATTTTATTCATTATTAGAATTTACATTTTTTTTTTTAACTTATTAAGTCTACAGTTTTTTCAAATTGCAGCCCAACAATGCTTAAGGAACCTTTAGTACTGTGTAAGATTGCCTCTTGCCTGGATATGTGCAGAGATATGGTCAGGCACAAATGCATATGGGTACCACATTGTATCCTGTGGCAGATTTGTCTATGAATGTAGCAACTGCCTGCCACTCCCTCATGCTTGTAGTTGGCCAAAATTGGCATCTCATCTGATCCTGTAAATGCTCAATGGGCAACAAATCTGGAAATTGGGTGGGCCAAGGAAATGTGACAATGTGGAAGACATCCTAGAAAAGCATAATTACATGCAACCTTTTTATAGGATACTAGTTGTTTGCATGGAGGGCAGCAAAAGGCTGTGCCATTGATGTCCCTGTACAACTAGTAGGAATGACTGACTGTCATACAAGATGTCTCTCCAAAACAGCATGTAAATAGTATATTACTCAATGGTAAAAGCAAAATTGAAGTGTTCTCCATGGTCTTCAACACACTAAAATGATGTCATCCATTCCTAAACAGAATCAGGATTTGTCACAAAATATGACATGCTCCCAATTTGTAGCAGTCCATGCTTCTCCCTCATGGCACCAATGCAAACAAAAACAACAATGTTCAGGTGCTAGTGGCAGGAAGCACAGTGGCCACCATATGCAAAAATCTACCTCTACTTGTTGCCTAACAGTACTGGATTTCTGAAGAAGATTCTATAGCAAGTCTTTCACTGCATTGTCCAGACATACTTGGCATTCCAAACAGGTACATTGACAACGATGAATCCAGTGAGCCTCTTCAAAACTTTTTATAGGATTCTGATGCAAAGAGTTTAAGGCATTCTGGCAGCATTACCATGCATGCAGTTGAACTACAACCGTCATCATCTATATCAATGGTATTCAAACATTTTAACAGTGCTACCCCAAGGTAATTTTCTGCAACCCCAAATGGGGTTGCGACCCATAGATTGAATAGCACTGATCTATATGTATCTGTATCTGATAGCTATATACCATATTTTGCAGTGATTGGAATTTCTGAATGCATAATTTTTTTTCATCAATGTATAAACAATATATGTCTTCATGTTGCTAAACTTATTATTATAAAATAGTAACATATAATCAGCATACACTCAAGTTTATAATACATACTCAATCTAACATTTAGACAAAACTATTTTTAATCTGATTTGTGTTAAATGTATATTTAATTTAACAAATACCAGTAATGACACTAAGTGCACAGTAATAGAACCATACACAAAATTTCCACAGTTTACATCTTTTATTTTGATGCTTACTTTATATAATAACATACTGTTATATATAATAATATCAAGATTTTAATTAAGCATTAATAAGTTATCATTATTCTCAACTTATACTGATAAGACACAAATACTTTATATGTTTAATATCTACAACCAGTAAATAAATATAAAGTTAATTACCATAATTATAAATAACTTATGTTGTGATTCCTTTTCTTACGGATAAATTGCGTGTATTAAATTTATCGATTTTTGACATTATTCAAGTTTTTTAAATTAAATCTGAATTTAACCATTTTTTTTAACCATTATGTTTTTGTTTTTTTAATTATCTAATTTTTGTTTTGTCTAAATGTTATACAGTATTGAGAGAGTATTATAAAGCTTAACAAATTGTCTTATACATTGCTAGTTTACTAAAAAAATTTAGCAATATATATAGAATTATTACCACACAAATTCTCATTTTTATACTTTAAAAATTTTACACTGTTAAATGAAAAAAACATTTATTGAATAAATTTTTCCCTCTTTTTTTCTTCCAGTTAACATTATATAAAAGTAGGTTTATTACTTGAAGATAACATAAAATATGATTCTTACCTGTTGTACTTTGTGGGAAATTTTGGGAACCATTTACATCACTTTCTATCTCAGCAGAACTTGACATCTGTCTGTCAGCTTCAGAATCCATACCCGGACTCTTTCCAATTTCGTTCGCGTTGTCTACATTTTGACTTTTGCTTGGACTTACATGTATAACTTTTGCCTCACCAGATTTAGATGGTGAAATTTGTTTCAAACAAGATTCTTTTTTATTTAATTCTTCCTAAAGAAAACAATGTTTCAAATTTATAAAAGTAACAGTAGTGATTATAACAATTGAGTGTTATATTAACCACTCAGCAGTGAAGGATAGATATATCCATTAAATTCTTTTTGGGGGTATCGCCAAAAACTACAGTGAAAAAAAATTCACCTAAAAAAATGAATTATGTAACAATAAAAAAAATAATAAAAATAGTAAAGGAGTTATGTCTAGGAGTTATGACTTTCCTTTACTAGATATAACTGTTTACAAAATCTTTTTCTGAAATGGTAATGAGAAAAAAACGCACGAAAAAATACTTTAAAAATTTCCCACATTTATTCTCCACTACTGAGGGTAGAACCATACCTGACTAATCCACTGTTGAAAGGTTAAATGAACTGAAATTTCTTGAACTTTTGTAGCATTTGTGAGATTTTAATCCAAGTACAATGTTACCATAATAGAATAACAAGACTGAGATAAGTCAACCTCTTAAACATGAATATTAGTCTAATAAAATCACTAAATGACACAAATGGAATTAATGACAGAGAAATAAGATGTGTGACACTTGGGGTCACTAATTATGATACAGTGAAACCTCCATTAACAGACACTCCCAAATAGCAGACACCTCTACTCAATGGAAATTTTATAATCTCCAGACCCTTCAAACAGAACATCTGTTATAGTTACCTCTAAATAACAGATGCCATTGTCCATAACAAACCTTACAAAATCGCAATGTCCAGCCTTCGATATTCTGAAAGAATTAATTACATATGAAATACAGTAGAGTGTCGTTTATCCGAATCAATTGGGGACTGGGGTAATTCGGATAACTTATTTTTCGGATAACGAATCATGTACGAAAAAATATATTAATTTATCCCATGTTGAAATTTCTCTCCATTGCGTGTCGCTTCGCGTTGAATTTTCATTGATGTTAAGCCTAACGAAGACTATTGTATCGTTAAAAATTATTTTTTTATTTTGTACAAACAAAATAAATTTATTGAAAAATATAAAAACAATAAAAAATTATACTTCAGATGTTAATTTACTATCAAAAACGTAAAATATTTGAGTAGCCCGAGAAATAGCCGAAGATTGCAGCGCCACAGCACTAGCGAAAATTTAAATTTGCTGACTGGAATGCTTTCGGATAACCAGCTTTCGGATAAACGACGCTCTACTGTATTTTAAAACAAAAACAAAGAATAGGTTCAAATACTCTTTCAGATGACAAATTTTTGACTGTAGGCATCAATTAAAGACTGGCTTAAAATAGGAATAGGGGAGGAGGGCAAGTTATAATTAGTCAAACAATATTCTTTATCTGTTAGAGAAATTATGTTGTCAATCACCATTTATCATTGTACATATTAATATTATTAAACTTCTGTCTTATTGTTTGAATTAAGCTTATGATACCAAAAAACTATAAACTTTTCCAAAGTTTCATTCAACAAGAACAGTAGTATAGTAGTAACAAAAAGTAAACTTCAGAACATGAATTACATCATCAACGTGAGAAAACCAAATATCTTCCCACATTTTAAAGTGGGCCTTTGTAAATCGTCTTTGTAACACAACCTTTGAACTTTCACCAAACAAACACTATTGCTGTAACCATTTTAACAGCTTTGTGGTGGCTAAAGTGTGATTTTTAATAAATCAGTTACTGAAAAAAGCAAAAAAAAAAATGTTCAAAAAATTACACCTACTCAATAACTACAAAGCAGACAAATTCCTGTATCAATTTTTATTAGTCACTTAGATTATAAATGTAACAATTCTGAATATATTTCCCATCCCTTGAAGTGGATAGCAAATCACTTTCAAAACTCAACATTCGAAACAGATTCAATTAAACGAAATTTTTACAGCTGAAAAAATAAATAATATATTAAATTTATATTTTGATTATATATATGCTATGTATACTTTTCAGTATATTCACATTCCTAATGCAAATTTGATGTTTTCATAATCCATCGTATTCTTCACTTTAAAATGACCAGGTTAAAATACAATATGGCCACCAGCATGTACCTCCAAATAGTGGACAAAGTTTTCTGTCCCAACAGTGTCTGCTATTCAGAGATTACACTGTATATTGCATCAAATCTAAGATGCACCCTATTTTCAGAGATACTAAAACAACTTAAGATTGACATCATATGATTAAAAAAATAAACCAAACAGATCCATCCTTTGTATCTTTCTAGAAAAGAGAAAAACAATTCTAATTTTAATGAAATTCTACAGACATTCATGATTATGGATCAATATTATTAATTAATCATGATTCCAACTTGGAATCTAATCTGCCACCTTTTTAATTGGTCAGTGATGTAAACAGATATTTGTTCATTCACCTGTAATCAGCACAAGAGTAACAAACTTTTCTTTTAGCTGAAGTTGCCTGTGTGGCTGAAAATTGAAAAGTATGATTGCCACTTAAAGAATAAATATTTTCAGCTATATTAAATGGCCATTATCAAATTCCAGAATGAAATGATTTTCAATACAAAACTCACAGAGTTGAAAGTTAACAAGATATTGTTAATTTTTATTTTTACATCTTTACCAACAGTTGGGTATTATTTGTTCTATTGTGTATTTGTATTTTAAATAATTTTGTTCTAGATCCTGATGGCAGAAAACATTTCTTTTTATAAATACACTCTGCTGGATTATAAAGGTAATTTTAGTTGATGGCTTCAAATTATTACAGTTCACATTGAATCTTCTTAATGAATTATATATCTAGACAATTTACTAATTTCTTGTACAGTGGAACCTCGCTTAATGAGCACCTCACATAACAAGCAAAACAAATTGTAAAAATTTACCTCGTTATGCAAAACATTGCTCGTTAAGCAATGTTTTGCATAATGTGTGAAGAGGAGAGGGAAAGTCCCGAATTGTGCACATGCTCCATCAGTCTGTATTTAGCACTCGTTCTGCTAGCATCATAGTGTCACTTGTGATCACATATTTTTCCAAACTTGTGTTCACGCATATTACATATAAACATCAACAAGCATAGCCCGTTATATAATAAACATGCCAAACAATATGCCAAATTCTTGAGCTATGTAAAGTCTATAATTAAATAGTAGAAATTAATTAATTTGACAAGAGGTAGGCAGTTATGTTGCCATCTCAAATTAAATTTAATGGCCAATTCCAAATTAAATTTTAGAAATGTCTGAATTAAAAATTAACTATTTATAATTATTAAATTTAATATGAGATGGAAGCATAACTGCCTACCTCTAGTAAAATNATGTAGTTTGTTTTTTTTTTCTAAGCTCTGATGGTCCATAAAAAAAGACAAGTGTAAATAACAAAATGAATTTATTACCAAAAGTTTGGTACGAACATGGTTACTTTTCGACATAATCACCGTGAAGATTGAGAAATTTGTCATATCTGTGGACGAGCTTTTCCATCCCCTTGTCATAGAATGTTGCCGCCAATGACTCGAGATGGGCCCTAACATTTTTCTGAAGATTGTCATTAGTCTCGAACCTCTGCCCTCCTAGCCACTTTTCCTGTTCGGGAAAGAGGTGGAAGTCGCTCGGTGCTAAATCGGGGCTATATGCTGGGTGTTTAAAGGTGATGAAGACTTCCACCCAACTTAAACTTTTTAATGTGTGAAGACTTCCCCCTCTTTCCTGAACTGAAAATGTTGCTAGCAGGGCAGAGGTTTAAGACTAATGAACTAATGCCGATCTTCAAAACAATGTTGTTAAGGCCATCTCGATTCACTGGCAGCAGCATTCTATGACAAGGGGATGGAAAAGCTTGTCCACAGGTATGACAAATTCCTCAATATTCACAGTGATTATGTCAAAAAGTAACCACGTTTGTACCTAACTTTTGGTAATAAATTCATTTTGTTATTTACACTTGTGTTTGTTTTATGGACCATCGGAGCTTGAAAAATAAACCACCCTCGTATATGGAAAATCATAACTTTAGAATAAATGAGAATAAAACAAAATATATCTGTTTGGCAAACAAAAATAAAAAAAGTTAATTTAGATGATATACAAGTAAGAATTAATAATGAACATATTCAAAGAGTTAATACCAAAAAATATTTAGGAGTTGAAATTGATAAACTACGATGGAACAATCATATAAATAATCTAACACTGTCTTTATCTAGATTTATTGGCATACTGAGAAGGATAATGAGGTTACATAAATTTTGAGACTGTCTTGTATTTATATCATGCTTGTATGGAGCCTAAACTTTGATATGGTATTTCCGTTACAGCTTCTTCTTTTGTATTTAATAGGTTGCAAGTCATACAAAACAACTTTATTAGAACATTATACAAGTTACCTTATAATTCCTCTGTCATCTCTTATTATAATCAGACCAATATTGACAAACTAAAAGTTTTATATAAAAAACAAGTTCTTTTAGACAGCTTTAAACTAATAAAGGTTTGCAGGAAAGAATCTTATTTAGGTGATTTGTTAAAAAAATACTTTAGGCCCTCTAACTATGATTATCGATGGAAAAATAATTTGATTCTACCAAAAGTTAAGCACTGTTTTAGCTGAAATGCAGCGATTTACCAGTTCGTATATAATTGGAATGCTTTAAAAGATTATAAAGATTTTTTGCCAGTTTATAAAGAAATAAATTGCCTGTAAGTTCTCAAGGGCAATTTAAACAAGTTGTTAAAAATTTAATTTTTTTTCTTATTTTTCTTTTGCTGATTGTTATTTTAATAATAATTAATTATCTTAGCAATGTAAAATGTTTTAAAAGATGCTACAAACATTCTCTTCTAAATCGCATCTCAAAAAAGTGCTCATTTAAACTTGAAAATTTAAATGCATTTACTTGCCAAATGTTTTTGGAATATTGTTTTATTGTAAAGATATTTCAATTCAAATTAAAATTTGAAAATATTTCTGTAACATAAAATTGTTTGTTACTGAAATTTATACATATAAGAGCGTAGGAACTTTCTTATATGGTAATATCCAACACTTCTCTAAGAAACTTAATAAAAATATTGTTTGTAAATTTTTCAAGTTTTTTGCATTTTATAACTGTGTATAGTGGATTTATTTATTTTAAAATGATTTTATTTATTAAGCCTGTATATACTGAGTGGCTACAATATTAGATGTTTTCTGCACAGACAGTGTAGGATTATGGATAAATGTATAGAAGCTATCAGTAATAATTATCAAGACAGTAATCGAGTTGTTGGAGGCTTATCCAAGAACTCAATTACTGATTGTTGTTATAGTATACAAATCCTTGGTGCTAGATATACTGGTTCCAGTTTCACAGATATGGTAACTTTTTTGTCCGTTCACATACAGAACATTATCAAGGGGTTACAGAGAATGGTACAAGAAACAAAATACAGCTAGTCGGATGCAGTTGTAGGGGCAAAAACAGCTTGTTGATATGAGAAAGGTAGTGAGACAATGACAAGAACCATATGACAAAATAGGACTCCTATCATACAAATAACAACCAGTACAACAGTGGTGTGCAGAATCACTTCTCCAAATGCATAACTCTTCTATGTTTGTCTTGGCTAGACTATATCGGCGGACATTTGTGTTTATATTTTCCATTAGAAAAGATAAAACTCCGGTGAGTTTGCAGTCGTCGATAAATGGACAATTGGTGGAAAAAATGCCTCTCTTGCATTATGCTGATGGCAATATCAGAATTTGGTACAAATAGCATGACTCTATTGATTCGTCCTGTGTTGTCACCAGTGTAAACTGTTAGTGACAGCATATTAGTTCCACACTATTATGTTTATTATACTATATTGTTTTTTAGCATGTTCAATACAGTACCATTTGAATGGCATATCACATCACATTTTGTTGACAGGTGTATGCCATCATGATTTTTGTATCTCTTTCAACATTGCATCATATCACAATGAAGATACTGTTGTAGAATAATCTCAAAAAAACACAACATAAGAGTTCAGACTTAAACTTGATCAAATATCTGTGTGATGAAATAGTACAAGCTATTCACAATATGCCTGCAGCAACTGCAAAAACCAAGGTTTGTATAGAATACTTCCAACATTTCATCAAATATATGCCCCGACATATTCAAGACATCCTACAAGATTGCTCTAGTACTATAGGACGAATCTAATAAAATAGCCACTCAGTTTAGACTAGCTTAAACGAATATTTTAGTTTTACTGTTCCGTTACAGATACGAGCTACCTTTCGACCGTCACGACTGGATAGTAGACAGGTGCGGTAAAGAGGTGAGGTACGTGATCGACTACTACGACGGCGGCGAAGTCGACCCAAACAGCGGACAGTTCGCCATACTGGACGTCCGACCCGCACTGGATTCCTTCGAGGCACTGTGGGACAGGATGAAGGTGGCCTGGTGGCGTTGGACGACGAAAGCGGAAGACTCTTGAGAGTGACAACAAATTTGGATGCCGTGGAGTAGAAATTAGAATCTATTTTGTTTGACTATTATATCAGTTAATGTAGCAATAATCTTTATATAATTTATTACAAAAATTATGTAAATTAATAAGAAAATACAAGTAAGTAATTACGAATTGGTACTTAAACATTTGCAATGTAGTTAGTCTTTTAATTTATTCAGAATAAATATTATACAGTTAATATAATACCATTTAGAAACATTCCTTCTAATTCATAAGAAATGATTTTAAAAAATAGCAATTTATAGCAATAAATTACTCTCTTAATTGCATAAATTATGCAGTTACTTTTTACACATACCAAAGGATTGTTTATTTTATTTTATAAAATCAAGTAGTTCCTATTTTTAAGTTTGACAAACAGCTAAGTCACATTACTCTCTATACAAATTGTTCTATTTCTACAATTTAAACATTCTGTCCCCTATGAACGTTATTGCCTGTCAACAGTACTTGCAAAATAAATATTATTCTCTAACACCAATACTTTGTGACTTAGTTTTTTGTATAAGTATTTGGCATTTAGTTATTTATCTTTAAATATATCTTAATCTAAATAATTTTCTAAAATTGAATGTTTATTTTTTTTTGCACATTTAAGTACCATATATGCTGACATGTAAATCAATCTCAGTTAAAGCCTCCATATGACATTTGAGAGTTTGACAATTTAAAATTATCATCACATTATTGAATTTTTAGTTTTTTATACAAAATTACGGAACTGAAATAAACTGCTTTACTAAAATATAATCAGAGAAGCAAGACATGTATAGTATTCTCCAGAATAAAAATAGAGTCAATGTGCTACAGTCCGTTTCAAAATTATAAACACACACAACTTTTTTCAATAACAAAAACATTAACAATAGTACAGTCGACCCCCTATAACACTGTTGATAATTCCGTTTTATATGAATTCCATGTTGTACGAGTCACTTAGATTTTACGAATACGTGTGCCGGGCTGTGAATGGCTCACGTATTTGTAAAATCTAAGTGACTCGTACAACATGGAATTCATATAAAACAGAATTATCAACAGTGTTATAGGGGGGTCGACTGTAATGTATTTATTATATTAGTATACTGTTCACAACATCAATTTAAACATTTTTTGAAATTTTTAGAGCTATCTGACAATTACAAAAAAAAAATTATCACAGATTTTCAATTTTTGATTGTTTCAAAAGTATAAATATGGGTGCATAAAAAAACGATTTGTGATGTCTCAATATTTTGTAGGTCCACCATTTGATTTAATTAATTCAAATACTCTATCAGGCATACATTTTACTAGTTTTTGAAGTTGTTTAATATTTTCCCAACAATCCATGATAGTTAATTTCAGTTCATTTACAGTATTGTATTGTCTGTTTTGGCCATAAACAAGACAACTCGTAATGCCCCATTCTCTATCGGGTTCGTATCAAGGCTCCGTGACGGCCAATCAATTATATTAATTTTTTTCAGCAAACCAATTTTTAGTTGACTTTGATGTATAAATGGGAGCAATATCCTGTTGGAATTGCCAATTTTCTCCTCCAATAAGTGATCCAAAAGTTGTTAAGTTTTGATACAGCAGTTCTTTATACTTTTCTGAATTCATTCTACCTTCAATAAATACAATGTCTGTTTTACCCCCTGTGGTCACCAGTTTGTGTGAAATTAATCATTGCAAACCAGGCCACATACAATAAAATATTAACATTTATTCTATATATGAATTATGGCGTGACTGTACAGGTTAAAACACAGAACGATACTACATGCGTATGCAAGGTCCAAATCCAACAAGGAATGTGTGATGTCATAGGTCAGGTTTGTACAGTTCAGGGGTTCCCCCTTGTGGCGACTTTGGGGTTTATCGCCAAAGCTGTCGCCACACCCCCATCCAAATCATGCCCACACCCTTGCTGTCTGCTCATTCTGACTTCATTTTCCCTCAAATCTCTAGTTGTGACTATAATCATCAGGTCCATCCAAATTCCATATTTTTTTCATCTGAAAAGATTCCATGCCATCTTGTCTTTGGCCCACTTTAATCTAGCTGTTTTGTGCAATTGTGTTAATTTTGGTTTGGCAGCCATTTTTGTAAATTTGGTGTTTTTATGATTATGCATACATCTCCATAGAGTTACTGGTGAAATTGCAATTGGCAATGTTGATGCTGATTCTCTGACAGACTTGTTGACTGTCGATAGCTGAAGAATTTCTCACATTTCTAGTTGTAAGGAGTTTAGGCCTTCCACATTACTTATTTCTGCCATAATTTTCACCCTGAGTTAACACATTTCTCACAGTACATGTAGATTGATTTACAGCTGCCAAAATGTCTTAAGATTGTCATGCTCCTTTTAGTTGGTAAATTTTGCATATTTCCAACTCTGTTAGTGTTTTTCCACGAGGCATTGTTTTAATCACAAATAACCATTTAAAATTGGCACCATATTTGTAATAATGAGTGATACTACTCTCTGGTAATAACTAATTAAACCAATAATTAATAAAAAAATTATCATACTAATTTTATGCATACTATATTTAAATTTTATACTTTTGAAACAATCAAAAATTGAAAATCTGTGATAATTTTTTTTTTGTAATTGTCAGATAGCTCTAAAAATTTCGGAAAATGTTTAAATTGATGTTGTAAACAACATACTACTATAATAAATACATTACTATTGTTAATGTTTTTGTTATTGAAAACAAATTGGGCATGTTTATAATTTTGAAATGGACTGTAGATCTCAAACGTGTCACTCCAGTAACTTGGAACAAAACTTTGAAAATTCAAACACTACATTGTGCGGCTTCTTTTTTCTTCTTGTAAAATCTCAAATGTCTTGAAAAAATGTCAGAAAATTCAAATATACAACAGCATTTTAAACATTTTTAATTTCCTAACTTATGTTTTATATACAGTGCATTATATTATGTTCATATTATGTGGAACTGTTTACCTTGGCTCCTTTCTATTCTAGGAAAGACTATTTAAAATACAGACAATGGAAACATTCTATAATGTTATTTAATAAATAATGGATTTTATTAAAAATATTCTAAATTACAAAAAAAACTTATTTTAAAATGCTTATATGTAAAAATATTTAGTTTTTACCTTTTTTTTCTAAAAATATATAATACAAAAATCACTTCTTTTTTTTATTACTGTACAAGGCACTAAAAATTGTTTTGTAATTTACTTCTATCTTGAAATTCTTTATCTATTGCTTTTGATAATGCATCTAGATAATTATCCAAATTTGTTGTCGGTTTTTGAATGAACAAAGCGTGTGCCAGAAACGGTAATCTGCGTAATGTCCTCCCACTTAGACCTTCGCTTTTCTTCGCCAGTTCCTTCACTCTGAGACTATAACCGATAAATGAATTTTCGCCAATTTCGGAAGTGATGTTAAGTTGTCTGAGAGGAAGAACGATGCATTTGGGAACGATTATCTCGACGTTCTGCAACTCCAGGATGCAGGATCGATATATGTGATAGATGGCGGGAGCGGAGGGCGGACCCACGTACTGTTTTACGTCGGCGCGGTCCACGAACGCCAGGTCGATGGCTCCCGTGATGTTCGACGTGGTCAAAATTATCACGTTTGGATATCTCCTTATGTTATCCAACTGGGTCAGCAGGGCGTTGACCGCCCTGACGGCGTCGGAAGGATCGGCGCCTCCCGCGGAAGAGTTCCTGGAGTGGGCCAGACTCTCCACCTCGTCTATGAGGACGAAGACCAGCGCCTCCCGATCGTCAATCAGTTCCCGTATCTTGCAAAACATCTTCATCACCAGTTTTCCGCTTTCGGAGAACCACTTGGAAAACAGGCTGTGACTGTTGATTTCTATCAGCTGGCCGTAAGAATAACGGCTCCCCAGTCTGACGGACAGCTTCTGCGCCAGCGCCTTACACAGGGAGGTCTTTCCGGTCCCGGGAGGACCGTGCAGGAGAATCACTCCGTTCCAAGAGACTACGTTAGAGTCCACGTTCCTGTCGGAGAAGAGCAGAGTGGTGGAAACGAAGTTCAGCAACTGCGACTTGACCTCGTCGTCGTAGATCAGACTCTCCCACAGACCGTGAAATTCCCTGCTGGGTAATATCCAGTGACTGGCGGCCGACAAATCTTCATCGTCGATTTCTTCCGTGCTGGGTTCGTCGTCGACCAAACGGTACACGTGATAATGTAACTGAGAGGCCAATAAGGACACAAATTTGCCGTTCGACAGATTCTCGTCGACGTCACAAATGGACACACTCTCCACGTGTTGCGCAAGTTCCGGTTCGAAGTCGGTTAAGATACAATCTCCATAAAGATTTTCCATCTTCTTTATCATCTGATCGACTAAGAACTCGACGTTTCTAGGAGGAAGAGTGCTTTTGTTGCTCTGTCGCACTTCGACGTGTATCGTAGGAGAAGAATCTAATAGCCTTTCTTCTTTCATCTTCCGAAATATTCACAATTTAACGTCTAAAAATACGTTCTTAATAAGAAAACATGGAAAAGCACTTAAACCGCGCCACTAACCGCCAACTATCTTTAAAATTGACGCTTTTGAAAGCGATGGTGTTGCCACCTCATTAAGCTATTTTCCATCGCCCAAGTATAGCCAAATGATGTAAAATCCTGTTTGCGATATATTTAGCTCACAACAATGTCGACATATTCTTATACGTTTATTTTTTAAACATTCCAGTTTTATCATTCGTTAAAAATTCGGGTTATCTTTCCATTCAGAATTTTAGAAAAAATCATATTTCCGAATTCGCTTGGAATAGGGAAACGAAATATAAAACTAGTATTTCTAACTAAACCTAGTTTATCATCTTTTGAAATTTATACAATTTATTACGTTATTTAAAATATTTGAGAAACTAATCTTTATTTTCTTTACTAATAATAATAATATATCTGGAAGGTACAACACGGAATTAGCGAAACGGCAATGAGTTTTGATTGGCATTAGACTAACAAAATTTTAGTAAATTGAACTAATTATCTGTTTAAACTCTGCATACATTTTTCAATTTTATTCATAATTATTAATCGTTAATTAAAAATAAAAACTAAATCGGCACTCGAATACGAGAATCCTCTGGCGATGTAGAAGTATCGCGTCGTTCATACATGCGGAAGATCCCGAGTTCGATTTTTACAGGCGGAAACTTTTGTTAAGCCGACGGCACAAGTGGAAACGACTTCGGCCCGCCATTCTGGAAACCCGGGTTCGAGTGCGGACACTTTGGACCCGTATCTTTCCGCCGATCACTCCATTGAGATTTGGCCCGAACCGAGACAACTAGATACGAAGACGACGAAATATTTTTAGAAATACGTTTATGCAAAAGATTATATTCCTGAATGACAATTTCGGCTCTATGATTAATTCTATAACTTGCCATATTTTTGAGTGGATTTTGCACGAGTCAGAAAGTGTTTTGTCTATGATCGAAGTTTATAGCTATCGTACCATCATCGAACACGATTTTTTGCAAATATGTACGACTGGGCAAGGCCGATGTGGTGACGAATCCGGAATTTGAAATTCCATCTACGAATCGAGATATCCCAGGTCAAAGTTCGCGCGTAAAGTCCTCGGAGCGATTGCCGATCGAGTTTCCGACTTGAAAAACTTACTTTTGTTCGTCGATTTTTGCTAGTCGCATACCATTCTGTAATATACAATTGCACCTCAGTAAAACTATTTAAAATACTTTGTGGAGCATTATGCGTTTGTGAAAACTCTCGAATAACAATAGCGTTTTGCGAAACTTCAGTTTCGTTCAGTTTTACGATTACGTTGCGGATTCCGGTAATGTGGAGTCCAGGCTTTGGACAGAAACGAGACCGAAAACGAAGTTAAAAATTATTTAACTTTTCCGTTTTCGTTCCGCTCTTCTGTCTTACCGCACCAATAAAAACGCGGGGATTTGTGACGCGTAGTCACGTGTAGTTTAATAGTCGTAATGGCGGAAAGTGTGGCGAAAAGGACGAGGAAACGAATAGATTTGGAATTATTTATGGAAGAAATTAAAAATTACAGATGTCTGAACGACAAAAAATGTAAAGAATTCAAAGATACATCATCGAAACACACGATATGGACGGCGATTGGCGTGAAATTTGGATCGAATGGTAAGAAAGTTTGATATACTCCATCGAACTCCTAAAGTGAAATCGTTTAATTATAAAATGTTTTAAGTAGGAAACGAAGCGGAACAGAAGTGGAAGGTACAGAGAGCTCTCTGCGACAGAAAAAAATATTCGGGAGCGTTCAGTCACGGTAGCGGGAAAAAAAGATATTTATAAGACCACGTGGCATTTGAAGGGATTTAATGGATAGCCTCCTAGGAGATTGCGTGAGCGAATGTGTAAGGTAAGTCTATTAATGTCGCTGTTTCGATTATTTCGGTGAGGTTTCGAATATATCGACAATTTCATCGTTAATACAGAGAAAGCGCGGCAAAATTCGTAGCGTCGTCCACGTTTGACTCTTTACGACAATTATAGAACTGATCAACAGGTGGCGCATTTCGGTGCTAGTGACGTCAAGTTAAAACGAAAACTCTTATGTTCAGTTCTGTTTCTGTTTTTGGTAATGTAGAATCCAGGCTTAACACTGGTTTAATGCAACGTAAATTCTTCGTGACTTGATGCGCCGGGCAGTTTTCAATTAATAATGAAATTTTTCGTTTTTCTCGGTTCTGACAGTTGGCCACAGAAAATATCAGAGATCATCCGAGTTCTTGGGTTAAATTTGTCGTTTACCGATTTGTCGATTTTCGAAACACCTTGGATTTTTCGATTTACCGATTATTAACGATTTTCTCTTTTCCATTTTACCCTATTTTTGAGGGTCTCAAATACTTCACATAGTGTCATTTTAGGGGGGACTATATCTCGAGAAGGGTCGCCCGTACGGGGCGTGGTTCCTTTGACTTTTTGTTCCTGTCGATACGCTCTACAGCTCTGTTAAAGTCCCAATCGCGTCATTCGGTCCTAGATTTCAACCAACTATTTTAATAATGGTCGATCTAATTCATACGCTGATTTTCCATGCTTTTGTTTTCTAAGATTGAGTAAATAAATGTGTGCATTGAAATTAGTTACAGTAATTAACCAAATTAAGTAACATTTCTCATTTTAGGTGATGACCCTTTCGTGTCACTCCCATCGATGATGTTACGGGAAAAAAGTTATTTAAAGATCGTAGTAATAACTCGAGAGTGTTCTTTCTACGCGTAATCCCTTATAAGCGATGACTTTCATCTTTTTAAATGCAAATATCGTTCGTTGAGTTCGTTGTAGCAGGAAAAAATAACACTACTCTTACGGGTGTTTCGTTCGTACTTTTAAAATTGGTTGGTAATAGCCGACAGTTTGTTATAAGCGAACACTACCGTATCGACAATAAACTTTTCTATCATTTTTTAACGCACTTTATTTATGAAAATTTAAAAAGCAAATACATGGATAAATATTAATCGATAAAATAATGAAAGACGGAAAACGAAACGGCTCGTCTATAATAGCGACCGGATGGCCGAGCGATCAAGGTGGCAGCCTACCGCTCTGGGGGACCCGCGTTCGAATCCGAACGGGTCGAAAAATCCCAGGAATTTTTCGGGGGTGGCCCGTTTGGATACGTCGGGCCCCGTCCCTCACCACCCGGTCGCCCCACCGTGGGCCCGGCCGAACCCATAATGGGCCTGCAAAACGAGGCGCTCTTAGTGCCCGCAGGATGGAAAGAGTTAAAATAATAATAATAATAATGGCGACGGGAGAAACGAAGGCGCCTCTAGCGGGAAGAAATCGAAACTTTTAACATCTTTGAAATAGTATTAATATTTTAAAAATATACCCGTAAAAACGAATGTCGTTTCGTAAATATACACACATTTTTGGCAATTTTAAGTTCAAATTTTGAAGGAGTTTAATTTCGGTTTCGGGGTTATTTTAACGTTCGTCGATTTTTTTCGAAGCGGAGTGGGAAATTTTGCGGATCCGAACGACGAGCGAGAAAATGTCCGAGATTAGTTTCTTATCCGACGGTTACGATAGAAATCGAACCCGGTCCCATCGCTGCGGAATCATCGGTCGAGAAGTTAGAAGATCTTAACATTCGTCCTTATTTGGCGGGGATGCCAACAATATCCCGTCTGCGGATACAATATTTCGACTGAAAATGAAGTATGCCGGGATACAAACACCTTTATTTGAAAGGAGATTTCAAATTATTAATGGAAGATCGGCAAATGTATCGAAGGGAAAATTATCCCTGGAAACGGGATTGGGAATAGGAATCCTCTTTCTATTAACGAATTTGCCGAAAAAGTTTCTTGGAATTTCCAAATAATTTCATTAACTCGATATTTGCATTTAGAAAATGACAAGTTCCCTCTTTGAAATTTCCGTAATTATTTAATTGTTTTACAATACTGTAATTCAAAATTTTGTTTTTTTCAAACGCTTCGTTTATAGAAAATAAAAAATAATTTTCCTTTTAAAATTGAATACTTTGCACGTTTGTAGAAGTATTTGCGTAGCGCCTTAATGGTCTTATTTAATCTTACGCAAAGTTGCGCGCATTTTAATCGATTTAAAGTATTATTCGTTTGCTCCGTTGAAATTATAACTGAGAATGCCACGCCATCTCTAAATACGTTTTATCGAAGAATTCCAAAGGCAAAATGTATTTACTTTTTATTTTTATCAGAAATTAGTTTCAAAATACTTTTCTGATCGGAATAAAGGAAGGAAATCGTCCGATTCGCGCCTATCCGTTTAGATAACAATGGATAAATATCCCGGTTTTACCTCCGTGGAAATAATAGAAAATGACAATTGCACGATTTTCCAATTGTAAGATTGATCTTCGTTCGTTTATTTTAGATACTCGTACGCTCGAATAAGGAACAAATAATCGGAATATTTATTTTCACGTAACAGAGGATGTTGCTAAGTCGAAATCGAGATATTTATCAAAAAAAGCCTACGATTCGTCATTATTCGTGAGCGTCTTCCCTGTCTTACGTCTTTAACATTTGCTGTTAAAATGCGTCATTAAGCCACAAATTTCCCATTTCAAATCTTTCTAGAATAAACGGGACAGAAGTAAATGAAAGACGAAGGCAAAAACCCGACGAAAAGACAAAGAGGGAGGGAATCGGAAGATTTTCCGCCACTCTTTTGGAACGAATCCGGCAGTTGGCCCGTCCCAAAACCGCCGTGGCTTCCGGTCCGGGTAGGCATCCTTCCCGTCCGGTTCGAGTGTTTCCTCTCCCTCCTCCGGAACCGCAAATTTGGTGGCCGAAATTGAAACGGATCGAGCTTTCCCGACCCACGGCAGTGTCTTACGCGCAACCGCCGTACGTATGTCTTTATTGTTTACGTTAGGAAATAAAACGCGACCATCTGCCGGGGGTGGATTCCCTCCCGGGAGGACTTTCTATTTACGCGTTTATTGAGAGAAGAATCCGCGCGGTCGGTCGGGGGTTCGCGCCCGACTACCAGAAGTCCGTGGTTTTTACCACTGGCTAAAAATCTAAACCCATCCGAAAAAAAAATGTATCGCGTTTCTTCGTTGGTCGTTTTCCAAACGACCAATTAGGAATCGCGATACGTCGTTCCGGAGATGAAAGACGTCTATGCAACTTTCCGGTTTCGATACTGTAAAAGTCAGGCGTGGTTCGAAAAGGTGGTGTTTGATAACTAGTGTATTGGCAGTGTATAACTTTTCCGACTGTTATGTATACGTAACGAGAGAAACTATTGGAATCGTGTGAAATTTCACTTTCCGATTTTGTTGCTAATCTCCACATTTTTAAACTTTTGCGTCTATTTCGCCTAATATCTCACCGTGCTAAATTTCTTTTCTTAATTTCTTAATCTTTGAAGTAAGAAACAAAATTTGGCGTGGTGCCTCGTATACCAGAGGCATTGATGCGATTAATTTTTGATGGTTAAAGGTCGAGGGGATGAAGAGATAAAGGAGTATCGTATGTCGTATCTCCAGAGGGTAGGTAGGACTTAATGAAGATTTTATTCGTTAACATTTGTTTATAACACTCATACCTACCCTGGAAATTAAGTCTTTTGCCATTTTACAGTAATTAAAAATATAAAAAGTTTTTATAACAAAATCTAGTAACAGATGGCAGCACACGCAATCTTATTTATTTTGCTTAATAATATAAGTTTTAAAAAGTTAAAAGGGAAAATTACGCAACTCGTTGCTGGATTTTAAAATTCTTTAATAGTATGGGAAGCGTCGGGTGGCGGAACACCCAATAGGCGCGCTCTAGGGCCACGGCGTCTCGAGAGGCCTCAAAAATTATATAGCAAAAAGATAATACGCCTTTAAGATTTTATTCGGGTGTATGAAGTTCGCTAGAGTTTTGGTTTATTCTAATCCTCGTTATTTATAAAGTTATTTTGGTACAGCGTTTAGTTTTAATTGTCTTTTATTAGTAAACGGCCATTAAAGCTTCGTATTAAAAATTTAAAATCTTTAATTTGAATTTTTATGTGTTCGTTGCCAGGGAAATTACGAAATGATATTCCTTTATTTATACGTTCCTTTCCCTGTTGTTATTTTAACATCCGAATGCGCGCGTGACGTAGACATTTTCGTTCGTTATTCGAAACGAAACAGATTACTGTCACTACGCCAATCACGTGACCAGAGCCACCTTCTTCGCATACTATCGCCTGATCTAATCCTTCTTCTTCTTCGTGGTGCCATATCAGAGCCCTGACGTCGGCGACACCTGGCGTAGGTTAATAAGTAGTTAGTAACGCGCCAAGGTGTATACTAGGGAAAGTTATTACCCAGAGTAGTTTCCCGTTGCCTTCTCCGGGGCGCGATGTTACGCGAGGGGAACTAATGCCTTCCGGGAGGACTTTTATGGGAACTGGCCTCCTATTTAGTCGTTATTGGCAAGGAGAAAACCCGGAAAACTCCAAGCAGCCAGCCTGTCCGATAGCGGCGCGAACCCACGACCGAACTCCCAGTGTTTAGGGTACGAAGACCACTCGGCCACTGGTGGGCTGATCTAATCCAGATCTAATAATGGCGGCTATTATTTACGCGCCAACCGGTGAAATTCGATTTTCGTTCGTAAATAGTGTTTATTCGCAGAAAAGCAGAAAAGAAGAGTGAAACGAGACTGGTGGTCTTTCCTCCCGCCAAGAAAGCCGCCGCACGAAGAAAGTACGTCACGAGAACACGGAATTCGGCACCGGGCGAACAGAAAAATGCCGGAAGAAAAGGGCAGAGAGAGAGGATACAAAAACCCGGAAGAGAAACCGAAAATACAAAAGCGGAAGAGAAAACGGAAAAAGAGCCGCCGAAGGAAAATACCAATCGGAAATCCTTCGTCCGATTCGAGGAAGAAGAAAAAACGATAATGAAATTTCTGGGACGAAAAGATTCTTTCATCGAGCTGCAGAAGAGACCCGTGTTTATGGATCACCGCTTCGATTACCGAGACGAAGAAGAGAGGAGAAACAGATCGGAGGAGGAGATCGAATTTCTGGAGAGACTCTCGTACAAATTAGTGAGTCGGGTGATAGATATGTGCCGCCAGATGGTGGGTTGGAAAAAATCGGTGGGCACCTCCTTTTCAATAGAAAATCCCGTCCAAATTTAGAGTTGGAAACAACAAAAGCTTTTAGAACAAGAGAGAAAGAAACCGTCAAAGGCATCTCGAACCGAAGTCAAATGTATCGAAATGATCGTCGTCAGTCTTCAAAATATTAAAATATATTTTTGTATTTCTCGCATCTTCGCGTGTAATTTCCGCGAATTTCTCCATCCGTTGCATAATTTCTTACTTCAAGTTTTCCAGAGAAGTTCTTCAACGCCTCCTTCTTAGAACGGATACTGTACTTTATCGCATCGTAGATTCCTGGAAAATGTTTCGATCCTTCCGATGTTTTTCGTTCTGCACTTCAGTTATTAATGACGCTACCCGCTAACAGGAGAGAAATTTAATATTTTACAACATTAGTTTTATAAAATTCTTAATTCCGCGATGTCCTTCGGTATTAAAATATTCGTTTCCGGCGGATAATGCGTGTTAAATATAACAGAACATTTAACTGTCTAACTGTTTAACTGCGCTAATCGTCCGTTACCTTTAAATAGTCTTTCCGAAAGGACGTTTCTCATCAACTCTTACAAAATAACGAATATTTTTCCCGTATATTGCGCTAGATCTTTCAAATACTGTCGAGCGTTTATACCGAAATTCAAACGTGGCGGATTAACAATTTTGAAGCAATGTGGGAATTCTTTTGTAACGTTAATTATGCCCGGTAGAGTGCGCGAATTTGGAAGCCGGGCTGGAAAAATGTGACGTAAGAAAAGTACGAGCGTCGATGGCTATCGAAACCGGATTTCTAACGTGCGGTAAACTCGTTATTTTGTACGCGTTTGAGGATTGCCGATTACGTAATCGTCTCAAAAAATGAAAGAAACGAGGTTACAAAATATAACGAAGACTCCGACGGGTTTCCTATTTATTTCGAAATAACCGCTTTTAAATTTAATTCAATATTTTATCGTCTCCCGGGCGTGATGAGATTGTTTTATAACACAGAGAACGGGTAAAGTCGCCGGAATGTTTACCCACGTCATTGGTCAATTCTGGTATATAAAATTCTTGCAATCCAATGACGATTCCACAACGTGACACTCTTTTACGATTTACCGCGTTTTCGCCTCTTTACCTTTATAACTCGGGACACGAAATATTGAAATTCCTCTTCCCTTTATATCCCAATTCTTTCCCTTCTTCTAGAAATATTTCTGTTTTGGAAGAGTTCCGTCCCGAGTACCCGAAAAACAATCTAAAAATTAAGAAAGTGTAAACTAATGCGAGGCTCCGTCTTCGGTTTCCATCCGAAAAAGCGTAGTACACCCGGTATAGAAAGTATGAATCTTAATAAGATTTTCGAGAAGATCGATGTCTGTCTGTTCTGTGTTTGTTCCACCAGTGGAATTGACTAGACACAGAACAGACAAACGGACCGACTATCCACTATTACTTAATCGGTCGGCATTGTAATTTTCATTTTCCCATGCGCGGTCGTCCTACGAAGTTTTGAACATATCCGCGGATAAAACGATATTTTTACACAAATTGGTGGAGAGATACCCGCTCATTTGCATAAGCTATTCCTAAACCGGCGAAATTTTGGCGCGTGGGAGTTCATTTTCCGAAAGACCAATCGTAAGTCGATATTTAAATTTCCACAATCCTACGTAACCGAAAGTGACGGCGCGGCGCGCTTCGCGTATTACCTCCGGCAAATAAGACTATTTTAATATCTTACGAATATATGGAAATGATAATTTTTTATAACGAATTTATTGACTATTCGGGGAATAAAGTCAAAATGGGGATGGAGGCCGAATGTCGGTTGGCTTTGGCCAGTTAACGGAAAGTGTGGGACGTATGAGATCAGTGTTTAAGAATTCCCTGGCCGTGTCACCAGGTTCCAATGGCTACTTCTCGGTCGCTATTTTTATTTACTGGCGCTTGGCGTAGGGAACGTCAGCACTAAACTGTATGATGTCGTTACCACACTTTTCGATAATTCGGACGAATTGATGACATTTTTTCCTCGAAGACGAAGGAAAATTGCTATAAAATTTTACGTCTTTATCGTCGTACAATTAAAATCTCAATTATTAAAAGTTTATTCCTTTTCTTCGCCTATGACGAAAATATCTCCGCATTACCATAATTGTCTTAACGAGGAAGAAGAGGAATGTTTTCCTTTTTTAAATTTAGTAATCATAATTCGACCGGTTGGACGGCGACGTACAGTACTTCAATGAGGAATCGGTCGAAGACGATCGGAGGGTCGGCAAAGAGTCTATTCTTCTTCATTTGTCAATTGTCTGTTCAATTATCCCGTTTGCGATTTCCCCGGAGGTACTGTTTCGAATTTACGAGGCCATTTACAGACGTTCCTATTCCAGTTCTGTAATACCAAAACGGAAGAGTAATTGACTTTCGTTTGATATAAATCGAAATTCGAGCTAAATTGTCTGTAGGATGTCACGAATCGAAAACACGCCGATTATATATACGAGATCTTCCAAACGGCGAACGTGTATCAATTTTCTGACTTTTTTGAGTTCGGCAGAGTCAAACGTTGGGATTTATAAAAAACCGGGAGGGTCAAATTGCGCACGATTACAATACTTTATGTCGTGTTACGTTAAGACAGCCGGGAAAGTAAAATTGTTAATAGAGCAAAGGGGTGGAGGTATGTTAGATCGCTACCATCGTCTTACCGAGGAACGCGTTAAAGGAGAGTCGGGGAATTTCTCGAGAAACGGGTTATAAATGTCGTTTAGGTGTCAGATATTATAAATTATCCAAGTATTTCTAAATATATTCTATCATTTTAATAAAAATAAGTATACTTTGTCTTAGAATAAATTATAATTACTCGGTAGCGGGAAAATTCTCCGACGTTGTAATTTCGCAGCGAAATCGAGTTAGTGTCGGCTCAGTTCCCCAATCCCCAATATTTTTCGTGTATGGATCCTTCTAAGAAACTTTTTTCCATCGAGCCCCTTCGATATTATAATATTACGTAGGCGATAGTCCTTAATGAGGACTGAGGAATAATTCCACGATTGCGAAATGTTTACGTGTACCGGATTCTCGATATAATGAACAATTTTGTCGGCATTCTTTTACGGGCTACAGCCAACGATTTCGTTTGATCTTTTGAGAGTATCGTTATGACCAGAGTCCACTATATTAACGAATTTGTGTTATACAGTTACTCTGTCAATTACAATATCAATTATAATAGTATAAAATGATCGTCGCCTTAGGCTTCTATTATAAGCCATCGAACGAATTCTCGCTTTAGGTCACTAGGTGCGCTCTTTTCCCTCCGTATTACGCTGGAGCGACTTTCCTCCGTTTTGCCGTATTTTCTAGCGTTATAATACCGAAAATCCCTCGGTCCTTACGTATATTTGGGACCATTCAAATATTACGTCGGCGGTTTGTTGGGGAATTCGCTTGCATCTCCGACGACGTGGGGAGGAAAGGGGAGTCGTCTTCGATGACGAAAAATAACTCCCGCGTATTTTAAAATGACTCAAACTGGGTGAAAATTTCGAGGAAGGGGGTACCTCGATTTCGATTACCGACGGTTGATTGGGGTGGGATCAAACTTCCGTTTTCAGAAAACATTCTGCCATAAAATCCCTCAAATATTTGCGCGAGACGAAGAAAGGTGCGGGACAAAACATTATTTTTTTTCTTTTGTCGGCTAGAAACACCGTATTGCCGGTAACGCGACACCCCAGGAATGCTGGTAAGGTCCGAAGTTTGAATGGAGCTTTCGATCAAAGATAAAAACTATTTTCTGTAAAATAATAATTAAAACGAAAAGAACGAAGTTAACGGATTAAAGAACTCTTCCATAATTCCTTATCTTTGGTTTATGTAGTTTTTACGTCGACTCACCCCCTTTAATTAGCCTTTGTTAAGTTTGCGATTTGATAAATATATATTTCGAGTTTATTTTAAGAAATTCGATGCCGATATATTAAAAATATTTAATGGGTGTCGCGGCGAAAACATGTCATTTCTAACTCTCAGTAGGGAAAACTTAAGTTCGCCTTGTTTTTAAATTACGTCCATAACTATAATAACGAGAAATGCCTCGTTCTTTTGGTCGTTTCCTTCATTGTAAGGTTACTCGAGATCCTCCTAATACATCGAACGGGTGTGCCGTTTGTCATCTCACCCCTCCGTAATGAACTAGCGTAGACGGATCGGGCCGATATCCAAAGATTGGTTTATTTTCTAACAAAATATCCCTTATAATCGGATTTTAGATTGGGACGAAACACACGTTGGGTGTTTTTAACGAAACTTTCGATTGTGTACACTTTGTGGACATTATACAATTAAGCGTAACGCGAGAATTCCTTATATTCTTCCCGTTGCTTCTAGTATTCGTTCTCGGTAAGAGAAGGGTTGAGGGAGATTTCCAAAGCCGCGATCGCGTGGCAACTAGCTAGCTAGTTTACGGATTTACGGGATACTCGTAATCCGATGGGGGTGGTTCGAATTCTCGTAAAACGGGGAATAAATACGCAAAGACCCCGTAATTTCGCAATTTGGAGAATAAAGTCGTATGCGGCCTTCGCTCTTAACTTTGGTAACCTAGCTTTATGACGTCGTTTACACTCATACAGCTAGATAACCAAAGAAAATAGCGACGCCAACGGAAATTGGGGCCGTGCGCTCGTCGCGTCGCGTTGGCTAACGGCAACCGCGCGCCGGGAGGATTTTTCCCAATTTCACTTCTCCGATTACGCGTGACGCTTCCGAAATACAGATTCAAACACCATAAATTGTACTCCGCAGACTTAACGAGGCGAACTAAAAGTTACTTTCGAACGACGCGGCGCGCCAGCGACCGAGTATCCGAGTAAATTTTTGGAATCTCATAGGTCCGGTTTAACCGGGCGCAAAAAACCGGAATCGCTACGTTCGGATCGTCGTCCGCGGCCGTCCTTTAGTAGCGACCTCCCGAACGCGTCGAGACATAACCCATCCGGCCCTCCGAACGCGTCGCTTCCCTTTCCGATATAAAGACGACGACGTCGTTACTCCATCTTAAACAATACGACGGCGAGTCGACGAAACGAAATATTCCTTTCCCAACACGCGAAGGTCGAAAGTCATTAAAAAACGGAGGTATCGTTCCGCATCCTCCCGACCTTCGACCTTACCGGTCGTACGGGGCGAGGGAAGCCGACACAATAGCGTCGTTCTAGGTTATCTCTCGGCTTACGGGACCGGCGCAAATCGACCCGACCTCGATGTAACGACTATCGCCTCATGTTCGGCCCAGTTTCTTTC